TCCTGCGTCGGGCTCTGTGCTGACAGCTCAAAGCCTGGAGCCTGCTTCGGATTCTGTGTCTCCCTCTCTCTCTGCCCCTCCCCCACTTGTGCTTTGTCTCTCTCTGTCTCTCAAAAATGAATAAATGTAAAAACTTTTTTTTTAAAAAGACTTGCTGGTTATGTATGTATAAAATCCTGAAGGCAAGCTTAAATAAGTGTTTTTGTCATTGTTGTTTTTTATTGAACAGTTCTTTGAAGAAGCTTTTGTGAATCTCCATGAGGACTACTGGACTTGAAATATTTTCCAAACCATATGACCTCCGAATCTGTTCTCTGTGGAGGCTTCTGCTCCACCAAACACACTTAAAAATAGCTAATATGTGGCATTCATTCCACCAACACTTACAAGAATTTTATAGAATACCCACTATGTGCCAGACCTGGCACTAGGTGCTGGCAGACCAAAGATACTATCATCTAAGACATTTTTGCCATTCAGGAGCCCTTATTGTCTTTCCACGAAATTGAATAATGTTTATACACTCGGTGCTGTTGGGTCATTTTCACTCGTGTTTACCGGCATCCTTCACCTATTCTCTGATATGCCCCCTTTCCTCTTTGCTTGCACACTGCCTAAAATGTGCTCCCAGGGGCAGAGAGTTGTTAAGACAGCTTGGGGTTAGTCACAGCTATGGACTGAATTGTGTTCCCCCCAAATTCATATATTGAAGCCCTAGCCCCCACTGTGACTATTTCTAGAGATAGAACCTTTAAGGAGATGATTAAGGTTAAGTGAAGTCATAAGCAGAAGGCCCTACTCCAATAGGACTGTGGCCTTATAAGACAAGAGGGAGAGCGCACGCTCTCTCTCTGTCATGTGAGGACGCATCAAAAAGGTGGTTGTCTATAAGGCAGAAAGAGAGTCCTCACCAGAACCTGACTGTGTTGGCATCGTGGTCTTAGACTTTCAACCTCCACAATTGTGAGGAAATAAATGTCTATTGCCTCAGCTCCCACTCTGCAGGATTTTGTTGCGTGCTCGACAGACTAACACAGTAACCCAATTCAGCAGAAGACACAACAGGGACTGAGTGAAACTTACTTCATAGACACTGAGGGGAGCAGACCAGGTTTTATAGCCACCAACTGCATCTCTTGCCTGCTTCTCACTCTAGTTCTGAACTTAATCCATTAGTTCACCATCTCTCTCATTAAGAACCTTATATAAACTCTCTTTGCCATTTTCCCACCTCCTGTGCCATTTTTCTTGCTAGACTCAAGAGATAAACCAGAGGTAAGACAAAGTTTTATCCTGCCTAGCAGGTAGAACTTCTATCCCTCCCTCTCTCTTTTTTTTTTAATTAAGCCAGCTGAGTCTTCTGCCTTTATTTACCTTTCACAGTGAAGCAAGATGGAAAAATACAAGAAATAAGCCAAAAAATCCCTCCCTAAAATGACAGGTAGAGAGAGAGTTGGTTGGCTTTTTCTGCTGCACACAAAAGTGAAATGTCAAGTTCTGTAGACCCTTCCTGCTTGAGAAAATGAGAGCAGGCTGTTCCCTGGAAAAGCCATAAGCAACCCAGGGGGTAACACAGTGAACCTGATAGGTCTGAGGTCTGTGCATGGAGGAGGGAGCCTCTCTCTCCTGCCTGCCTGCTTTCTCTTTTTCCCATCAAAGTTCTCTTTTCTCCCAGAGCAGCGGACCACCTCCTCCACCAGCAGACAGCCAGGCCTGCCGCCTGTCCCCCAGAGTCTTTCTTTTCCTTCTTGGGCTCTCAGTGGGTGCAGAGAAGTAGCAAAGCTAAGCACTTGTGTGTAATGCCTCACCCCTACAAGCTCCTCTGAGATTAGATGTCATTAATAAGAGCAAGTTCTCATCTCTGAAGGTGTGGGGCTCTCTGCACAGTACTTTCATAATCAAAATTATCATCATAATCATGCTAATAACCACTATTTATTGACCACTTTCTGTTTACCAGCCACAGTGCTAAGTACTTGACAAGCCCAGATTCATCTGAGTCTTAAAACAATTCTGTAACAGGCACATTATTGTCATTATTTCACAAATGAGGAAAGTGAGGCTTACACAGGGATCCCTAAAGTCAACCAGTCCACCATGCAATAGTGAGCGGTGGGGGCCCTACAGATGGCCTGGGAACTGATCCCTAAACATAAGGCCTTGGCAAGACTCTGATGGAGAGGTCAAGCCAAATTCTTCCAACTCACTTTTACATGCAATTAAAGGCTGTCCCATAATTGTGTTAATAAGAGCAACCATTTGGGTTTCCTAAACTAAAATCAGCTCAATACTGGAGTTTATCATACACTCTCATTGAATATTTTACTGAGAGGTACGTGGCTTGGCAATGGTGTCTTGGTTCCACTGTCACTGAGCATGTGCAGAACTGAAAGACCCATAATTTTCACAACTCTCCATTATCAGGTGTCATTGCCTTTGTCCTGAATTGGCAATCAATCTCTATTACTGTTTTCTTGTTCTTGAATGATACCTTACTGTTATTTCAGCTTTTTATATAATCTGTGGTTGCTCTCCTCTTAAACCTATAGTGAGTGGTGAGGTATATAGATGTATTTTCACCTGTTATTTTCCAAGAACTTGATTGGAGAAATGTATGTAACATATTGGGCTAAGCCAAATAAAACATTTTTACCTTAGGTGAAACCATACGAAATGGACTATATTTAACAACTTTTTAAAAGTTTATTTATTTTGAGTCAGAGAGAGTATGTGTGCATGCATGAGAGCAGGGGGAGGGTCAGAGAGGGAGAGACAGAATCCCAAGCAAGCACCACACTGTCAGCACACAGCCCGATGTGGGGCTGGGGCTTGAATTCATGAACTCACAAACCTTGAGATCATGACCTGAGCTGAGATCAAGTGTTGGACACTTAACCAACTGAACCACCCAGGACCCCTGAACAATTTTGACCTAAAAAAATGCAAGTTTCCTATTGTCCAACCTAGTAGTTCAAACATAAATTATTTTTACCTCATTTGCTAGACATTTGTATGCATAATTCCCTCTGCATATGCATGTACAGTGACACGTTATAGATGATATTCTGCCTCTGAATTTGTATTACCTAAATAATTTACAACATATTATTATTATATGTTAACTATAAGAACATTGCTAAGTTATTTTGAGTTTGTGTGGGGTTTTTTTTTTTGTATGATCCAAGATCTTGAATATAAGCTCATATTCTTCATGAATTGTTCATTTATTTCCCTCTTTAGTTCTTTATCATCACTTGATTCCTTTTCTGCTGTTAAGGAGGAATGGATAGGTCCATAGGTCTTGTGGTCTTGGGTCTTCTGTGTCCTGCTCAAAGAAGTTTGAAAAGCACTACGTCAGTGGCTAAGGAGACTTTTCAAGTCCCACAGCCAGTAAGTGTGTATTCAGAATTCAGATGCAACTCCGCTTCCCTCACAGATGGAGGATGTGATACACATTTTGGTCATTGGCATCAGTCACACCCCTATGGCTTCCTGAATAAGAAATGCTAGATTTCCTTGACATATCCTTAAGGAAATTGGGAGGTCAACATTTATTGTGTGCCTATGTATGCCAGCCACTCTGCTTGGTATGTTAGTTTGAACCTCATTTGATACCACAGCAAACCCTATGAGGTTGGTATCATTTATCTGTACAGATGGAGAAAGAGGTTTGCAGGCTTGAATACTAACTCCAAATTCTGGAACTGGTAGGTAGGTGATGAAAGCAGAAAGCAAACTTTAAAGCCCATTTGATTGTTCACCACTTTGCCTTTTCTTTTTCTCACTACACATCCCCTTCCCCTAACCCCGTATTTGATTCATCATGAAATCCTATTGGTTCTACCTATAGAATGACTCTGGGTCTGTTTCTCCATCATTTTCACTACTAATGCTCTAACATTGTCCCTCCCATGAACACGTGCACAGCCTCCTAACCTCCTCCTTGCCACAGTCCTTATCTATCCCCTCCATGTGGCCTTTAACTCACTCCACAATCCTTTACACAGATCTGATTGTGACCTACCTACCTTTTCAGTGTCCCTGCAGTGCTTGCAGAGGGCATAAAACATGTCACAATCCAGCTTTCCAACCTACTTTCCTGGCCCTCTCTGCCAACATTCCCTATCCCCAGCTCCTACCCCCACTGACCCTTCCAGACTGCCCACCCCTCCATTCTCTCTAACACCCATGACTTTTCCAATTCAACTCCTGGGCCTCTGTGCACTTGATACTCTAAATTATATAGATAATAACTTGTATATATATATGTGTGTGTGTGTGTGTGTGTGTATGTGTGTGTATATATACGTGCGTGTGTGTATGTGTGTGTATATATACGTGCGTGTGTGTGTGTATATATGTGTGTGTGTATATATATATATATATATATATATATATATATATATATATATATAACCAGTTCTCCATCTGGCACATTCTGCTTCCTTCAAGGCCCTGCTCAAATGCCACTGTCTGTGGGAGAGTCATCCTAGACTTTTCCTGGGAGCTCATGGCCCCTCCTCTTTATATCCACGGGATTTTGTACACATTTTTAATTAGACACTTTCTGTTGAATGATAGCTAGCTGTTTAAATGTCTTATCTGTCTTTCCTACTTGATAATGAGCCCCTAAGGGATAAAGATCATGTCGTATTTATCTTTGGATTGCCAGCATGCAGAAAAGTGCCTGGCACCAGGTCAGCACTCAATAAATGTTCATTAATGTACAAACACCCCCCATAGTCTCTCATGCACATAAGAGCATACTGAGTAGTTCTTCGGTAGAGCGGATTGAAAATTGGACTGGGAAGAGGATGCTTGGATTCTAGTCTGGGATCACCCACCAACTAGATGTGTCACTGGGGACAGAACATTTCAGGGTCTCAGTCCCCTTGCTTGTAAAGTAGTGGGAGGACATCTGAGTGCCTTTCCAAGGCTTACATCTAATGATGCAAAGGACTTGACAGCTTATTCCTAAAAATATCTCTCTTTCTTACCAGAAGGAAAAGGCCTTAGGCATCTTCTAAGGAGAGTCATGGCACACAACCAGGAGACTCTAGCCAAGACCCCTGTCATCAAATTCAAGGGCCAAGACTTCAACTTCTTGCGGGATCATTGCCTAAGCAGAGGTCTGCTGTTTGAGGATGAGACCTTCCCCGCGGAGACTTCCTCCATAGGTCTGCAGCTGCTCCAGGGAAAAAACCTCTCCAGACTGATGTGGAGACGGCCAAAGGTGAGTGAGCCCCCCAGAAACACACCCAGCTCCTGGGCCCTCTCAACTGCCTGTCATGGTACCTCCTACTGAAAGAAGGATGGGCACGTGACTTGGTTTTCAAAGGTGGCCCAAACCAAATAGGAAGGAGAATGAAATTTATCTGGTCCCTTAGCTATAGTGTTGTATCGTCAGTAGGATGTAAGGACCCTGTACCAGCAACCAGGACCCCTGGGTTCTAACCCAGTTCTCACACTGAGCACATCACTAGATTGCATGCTTCAGTGTTCTCATCTGAGAAATGGGAAACCATGGGTATGAAGATTGTGGTAGTTGGTCTCTAGGGTCTCTTCCATCTCCACAATTGAGCCCATCTGTCAGTCTTCATCACTCTTTATTCTCTTCAGTTACCACTGTCTTTATTTTTTTCTTTTCCCCTGTTAGAATTTAGTCAAAGGGAAGATATCCTGTCAGTCACTGATAAAATAGGATGAATTTATTTATTTATTTATTTTTTTAATTTTTTTTTTCAACGTTTATTTATTTTTGGGACAGAGAGAGACAGAGCACGAATGGGGGAGGGGCAGAGAGAGAGGGAGACACAGAATCGGAAACAGGCTCCAGGCTCTGAGCCATCAGCCCAGAGCCCGACGCGGGGCTCGAACTCACGGACCGCGAGATCGTGACCTGGCTGAAGTCGGACGCTTAACCGACTGCGCCACCCAGGCGCCTAAAATAGGATGAATTTAAATAATTGCCTCACCCCTCTCATTTGTATATGTATTGTCAGTCTTGTAAAGGCTTGATCATTTATAAAAGAATTTTAGACATCAAATTAGGAAGATCTTTCAGGGAAACATTCAAATCCCTATGCCAGTAGTTGGTCACTAACTCAACCTTGTGGCGAGATGAGCCCTGTTGGTTTTTCTAAACTATATTCATTCCCAAGAAATATTTCTCAGCCCACTGACCATTCTCATAATCTCATTAGGGAAAAAGATCCAGGTAAGGACCACTCTAAGGATCCTGAGGCCAATCCTCCTGTTCTTCCAAAAGCAACCAGCAGAACCTAGAACAAGAGAAAATAAGATAATGTCTAGTAAGCTAATGATTATGATATCAGCAAGTGTTACCAAGCACTGATTAAGTGCCAAACACTCTCCTGAGTACTTTCAATAAAGCCAGTTTAGTCTATACAAAAAGGATATTTTCTGATAACATAAAATAAGACATTAAACTCTGGAGGTACCGACTCTTGCTCTGATGTCAAGGGGGCAGATTTGTAGTTTTGGAGAGGGAAGTGTGAGCAGGGTGCAGGTGGGGCTCAGGATCAGATGGTGGTGCTTCAGGCTTCTAGGATCCATCTCACCAGCCAGAGGCAGTAAGTCCCCAGAAATTATCCTCTTCTGGCCTTCCCCTCCGAAGGGGAGCAGAACAGAGAACTCTATTTAAAGTTTGGAAGGGTTATATATTTTTTCCCCTTGTTATTTTTAGAAGCTGAGATTCTTTTAGAAATGTTCTTTTTTTTCTTTTTTACAAGGTGCTGAGCAATAGATACAAGACCATATTTATAGTGTTGGAGAATTTATAACATTTCTATTTAGGAAGGGTTCAGAGTTTCTTACTATCTGATTTCAGCAACATCTCAAATTTTATCTTTTGGGGGCAAGGAGAAACTGAGGCAAACAGAAGTGAGATGACTTCCACAGAATCCTTCCAGGAACCTGAAATAGAGGAAGATACGTCCTACTCCCACTCTTCTCCTCAGCCAAAAGCTGAGACAAATGTCTTTGTGTCCCTCATCACAGTGTCCACATTTGTATAGTGTTTTCCTGAGTTTTCCATGTGTCCTGTTCTACTTTGTCTCCTTTGTTCTTTCCCAGTTGTATAGAGAAGAAAACAGATTCAGACAGGGGATGTGACTTGCACAAGGTGACAGTCCAGCCTCCATATGCTGCACTTTCCTTCACATGGGATTGTGTGCCCGACAGGACTCTGTTAGGATTTGAATGAACGAGTGAGTGAATGGATGAAAGAATGACTTTATCCACAGGCCCCTGACATGGGTTTCAAGCTCCATATGTGCAGCTGAGATTCCGTAGGTTGACTGGTTTAACAGGTAGAACGGTAGACAAGAAAGCCACTGAATTCACCCCTTCCACATGGTGACATCCTCAAGTGCCACAGCTTATAGTTGTGCCTGAGAAGAGCCTTGGACGAGGAGCCATGGCCAGTGTAGTTCAATCCTAGTTGGAATGGCCAACACTTACATAGTGCTGACCATATGGTAGGTCCAACTTTAGGTCCTTTGACTCATTGAATCCTCACAGTAATGTTATAAGGAGGTACTATTATTAACCCCACTTTACAGAGGAGAAATAGAAAGAGTTAAGTAACATGCCCAAAATGGTAGAGCTGGAATTTGAACCCTAGAGTCTATCTCCAAGACCTGTACTCCTATCACACTATATTGTCTCCATAAGGCCTCATTGTAAGCTCATGTTGTGTTCTGATTTCCTATTTGCTACAAATAATATTTTGTGCACCAATAGACTCCTAGTTCATCTAGATAACCAGGAATCAATCTCTGTGTTGTGTCCTGCTTTCCATTTTTTAGGAGAAAAAGAATGAGGTAAGAATGAAATGTTGTACCTGTACGTCACATGATTATTTTAAGGAATAAATGAAGACAATATTTAGAGTCTAGCACATTGCAAACACTTACTAAACACTAGCTATTGTTGCTATAATTAATTTGGGAGGGATGGCATAGGGTAGCAGCCTCAAGGGCTGTCCTTTTGGATCCATGGGTTTTCACAGTCCAGCCAGCATCAGCCCTCAGCTAATTTCAGCAAACACATTTAGAGAGAAATGTAGGTCAGATGAAACCATTTGAGGTCCTAGGGGGAGGCTGACAGGGAGTGTGGAGAGAATTTCTTCTCCCGTTCCGCTGCCTGTCACCACTTTCAGAAGGTTGCTTCCCACTCTAGAGCTTGCCCAGTCACTGTCCAGAGGTATAGCTGGCACTCCTTAAATTAAGTTCACCTGTATAATGGCTGAGGTGGCACCAAGTCTCCTGAGGCCATCTCCATATTCAAGGCTTGGAAGGACAATGGGGAAGCTCCATATTCTAAGCAAGTGCTAAACCATCATGGATATCATTCTACCTTGAATACTCACCTGGGCTTGGTAGATTCACTAAGAGTGACTAAGAGTTGGCATACAACTAAACTCAGCTTTCTATGCCTGGCACAGAAAGGTTGTTTAATGTCCCATAATGTCTTCTCTCTCCCTCTCTCCCTCCTCTCCCTCTCTCCCCCTGTCCCCCCCTCCCCCGTTCCTCTCTCTCCTTCCCTCCTTCCTTCTTGTTCTCCCTCTAACAATCAACCTAATCCATTTTGCTGCTGGAACTTTGAAGTAGAAGCTCCTTCATATCTTGCTTCATTCAGCTTCTCTTTGTTTAAGAAATTTCCACCCCACTTCTCACATCCTCCCCCCCACCCTAGTGGCAGTCAGTCAGGTTCTGCAACAGCCTGTGACCCTGCACTGACCAAATGACACTGAGGAGACCCAACTCCTCATGAGCCTCTGCACTGCCTACAACCCCCACCCCATGTCAGCAAGAGACCATGCTGAGAATTAGACTTGTATATGGTGTATCTATTTGATATTTCCTGAATGAAAGTTGGTGCTAGAGTGCTTCCTTTTAGAATTTTAATTCCATGAATAATGCTAAATCCCATTTATCAAGTATGTACATGCAATAAGTATGAATCTAAGCACTTTACATATGACATTTCATTTAATTACCATAATAGCCCTGTGAGTAGATCATATTATTATCTTTGTTCAGTAGATGAGCATTGTCCAGGAGAACTTTCCATGAAGATAGAAAGGTTCTTTTGGTACCGTCCAGTACAACAGCCATTAGTAATAAGTGGCTATTGGTACTTCCAATGTGGCCAATGCAACTGAGGGATCAAAATTTTAATCTTATTTATTTATTTATTTTTTAAGTTTTTGAAAGTTTATTTATTTATTTTGAGAGAGAGAGAGAGAGAGAGAGAGCATCAGTGAGCAGGGGAAGGGAAGAGAGAGAGGGAGAGAGAGAATCCCAAGCAGGCTCCGTGCTGTGAACACAGAGCACGACGCGGGGCTCGAACCCACGAACCACAAGATCATGACCCAAGCTGAAACCAAGAGTTGGACACTTAACCAACTGAGCCACCCAGGGACCCCTTAATCTCATTTAAAGTAGCCACATATGATTTGTGGCTACCATATTGGACAGCACAGAAATATAGATACAATTCTTCACAGCAGGGTCACCAATGTGTATCAGATTGAGAGATGGCAATTTCATCTTGGACCCCATACTTTGGGAGAATAATTTTGCTTCTCAACTGAAGAATGGCTGTGGGCCTGAAACATGCTGTCTGATGGGTGCTCAGAGCTCAGGACCCAGCCCCATTGTGGATCCTGGCCTGTGGCCATCCCAAAATGAAGTATCACCTACCCAGGTAACAACTTTGATCTTTTAAGTGGAGTGGAGTTTCTGAAAGGATTGTTCACTAGAAATGATTTACCTTAGGTCCCAAATGAGTTCTTCAGAAAAGGAAAGTGTTAACAAAGTAGACACAGAAGTGTAGGTTATGAAGGCAACAGGTAACAGAAGGTGACAAGGTAAACCTGCCAGCAAACAAATGTCATCGAGCCAAAGAACTTTGATGCCAATAAAACAAAGCTCTCTAGCAAAAATAGTAAAGGGAGTGACTCTGTCACCTGGCCCAGGCTGACCTCTGCCCACCCTCTGAATGATATATTTAGCCTGTGTCTGAATGCCAACATGCTGACCCTGATGTTCCCTCATCTAACAGCAGCCTTCAAAATGATTGCAGAAATCACTCCAAAACATAGCAAGTGATGTTGCATTGGAAGACACCCCTCCAGAAGCGATTGCAGGAGAATGCCTGGTTTGGTACCACTTCACAGAGGGTATTTGTTAAGATTCCAGGGGTTCTTGCATAATATGTGCTTCTGGCATCCATAAGATAACATAGATTGTCCCAAAATTTGCCTCGAGAAAGGACTTCACAGTGCAGAAGTTGGGAAGATTACTTAGTATGACTATTGCTGATGGCTTCTGTATTAGGGTTCTCCAAAAAAACAGAAACAATAGGGTGTGTGTGTGTGTGTGTGTGTGTGTGTGTGTGTGTGTGTGTGGTGTGTGTGTATGTGTATCTATTATATATCTATATATCCTATAGAATATTACCCATATCAATCAGGCAGAGAAAGAGCAAATTCTCCCTCTACCTTTTGTTTTATTCAGGTCCTCAGTGGATTGGATGGTGCTTATTCACACAGGGATCAGAAATCTGCTTTATTGAACTCAATTCAAATAAATGTTAATCTCATCTGGAAACACAGACATACTTAGAACTAATGTTTAGCTAAATATCTGGGGACCCCTTGGCACAGTCAAGTTATAAAATTAACCATCACACCTTTCTTCTGTACTGTTTCAGACCCTCCAGAGGGCCCCTCTCGCAGAATCAGAGAACACGGACATCAAGAAGCCCCTATCTACATGCGTGGTCTGGGGGCGGGGGAGAGATCTGAGCACTATGGAGCCACATTGCCTGGTTCACAGCCCTCTCCCTGCAGATCTGTAATCAAATTGCTCAGCTTCCCTGAACCTGCCCCCTTTCCCTGGCAGGGCTTCAGAATCTTCTGGACTGTGTAAATGCTGAACACTACCTCCAGTTAACCTACTAAATCCAGGCTGTGAGAGGCAGTAGCCAGCAGCCTCCAGGGCAGCGAAGGTCTCAGGTGACTCTGAGTCACACTCAGGGTGTAGACTACTACTTGCCAGTCTTGTCACACTTCACTGTCCTGGTGTGCCCATCCCACCTGGTGACGCCTGCAGACATTGCCATCTTCCCAGTCATCTTTTTTCTTTTTAAGTTTTAATTTAAATTCCAGTTAGTTGGCACAGCATAATATTAGCTTCAGGTGTACAATTTAGTGATTGAACACTTCCCTACAACACCCGGCGCTCATCACAAGTGCATGCCTTAATCCTCTGTTTCTTGGTTTGCCTCTCTTTTTTTCCCTATGATCATTTGTTTTGCTTTTTAAATTCCACATATGAGTGAAATCATATGGTATTTTCTTTCTCTGACTTATTTTGCTTAGCATAATATACTCTAGCTTCGTTGATGTCATTGCAAATGGCAAGGTTTCATTCTTTTTTATTGCCGAGTAATATTCCAGTGTGTGTGTGTGTGTGTGTGTGTGTGTGTGTGTGTGTGTGTATCACATCTTCTTTATCCATTCATCTTTACCTATTCTCTCAGCAAATCAGCCCAGCAGGCTAAAATGCTTCTGGGTGTAATTTCCATCTCTGCACTTTTTAGATCATCGAGCACCTCTCTAAAGCCCAGGGTGGGGAAGGAATAGGCAGCTCAGAGGATAGGAGATATAGATGCTGGTCTTGTGCCCAACATTGATGAAGACAATTCCAGTGTTTGCCAGTAAACTTTATGTTGAATATTGATTTGCAATAATTGCCATTTAATTTTCATAGCATGAAAATAGTTTTCTGTTCCTAGTTAACTACAATTTTTTTATTTTAATTTTTAACATTTTGGTAAATCAGAGAAAGTTGTGCATTTATTAAATGCCTGTGTGGCATTCATTAGAAGGATATAAATTGTTTTTCCTTTGGTGCATGTAAATGCTATTTTATATTATTATATATCCTGATACAAAATCAGCGTCCTTCATTTCTAGGGCAAACCCTGCTTGATTATAGTGGGTTAGTCTTAATAATTTCTTGTTCATTCATTTGCCATGTGTTTTATTTTGGTATATTTCATAAGTGAAATCAGTCTATAATGTGTGTATGTTCTTGTGCTTTCACGGTCCCAGGCTATGCTGGCTTCTTAAAATAAATGGTGGCAGGATTTTTCTTCCTTCCCTTCCTTCCCTTTCTTTCTTTTCGCTGAAACTGTAAGTGATACAAGAATGGTCTATTCCCTGAAAGTGTGAGAGACGTCCACAGGAAATCCTGTGTACTTGAAAGCCTTCACAGAGCTGTCAGGGAGATATTCTTTGATCATTTGAAAATACTATTGCAAAGTTATCTTTTAAAGTTTACTGACTAACTTGAATCATTTTTGGCCATGCTAATTTTAGTCAGATAATCATCACTATTTTTAAATTGATTAGTATAGAATTTTACATCATGTTTTTATATTGCTAAAATCTCATTTTTATTTCTAATTTTAGTTGGGTTTCCCTACCATATTTGTTAAAGGTTGGGTCTATGTAAACCTTCTTCCCCAAATGGAGCGAGTTACTTGCTTTATTGGTCTTGCTGTTTTTCTATTTTAGAATTCACTAATTGTCTTTTATCATTTTTTTCTGCCTCTATTTGAGGCTTTTTTTGTCTTTCTAACATCTATGAGTTGATTGTTGAATTCATGTTTTTTTTTCTATCATGTTTAATAATGAATGCATTTGAGGCTCTGGGTTTGTCTGTGAGTATGGCCTTTTGAATTTTGCAAATATTACAGAAGGGAATCAATATTTATTGAACATGTACCTTGTCCAATGTCCCAAGGATCCACATCCTTCCTCATCTGTTAGGTGGAAAAACTCCTGCTTAGCAAGGCTAGTGGAAGACGATGGGTGAATAAAGCCCCTGGACCTCAGCAAGGTAGTCAGTGCCTCAATGGCTTTGCCACCGGAGTCTCCCTTTCACACATGAGGAAACTGAGGCTCAGATAAGGAAGTGGTTCAAGGTCACCCAGGGAGAAGGCAGGGCAGGGTTCCACCCTGGGTCTGTCTCCATGACTTTCAGCACGCCCACCCCCCTTCTGCAGTCACACTGCAGAGAAAACCAGAGCAAACAGCAGAGGAGAGCTGGGGCTTCGGGCAGGTCAGGAAAGTTGAGCAAAGCTATCTTTGTTCCCCATCCAAGCCCACTGGCCTCCTGTCTCTTTAATTCCTGTGAGTGGAAGATCTTAAGCATCTGCTCAGTGACAGCAAATGCTAGTGAGATCTTTACCTCCTTTCCACAGTAGAAGGGCTGGGGACAGCTGGGTGAAGTGCCTGGAGTTGTCCTGGAACCGGGACACTCACTCCCTCCATGGCCCTGCAAAGAGTTCTGTGCTGCTGGCTTGTGTTGGGGGATGTCCCTGCATCCCCCCAGATACGGGTACTTAGCTGCCCAGCTTGCAGCCCAGATGTGGGGAAAGGGCAGGCCAGCTTGGTGCCTCTACCCAGGGAGGGTCTGAGCCTGAGTGCACCTCTCCTGGTGAATGTGAGACGGCCAGTTATTTGTAGAGAAGGTAGTGGGAACAGGTTTAGTGAGGCAATTACCCCTCCCACACAAACCGGGCTGAGGTGTTTGCAGACCTGCACACCTTTGTTTGCCTCTTGGCATCTCCACCAGGAAACTGGCAGTTTCTGAAGGGCCGACAGGTCTCTCAAAGCACAGGACTCTGTACATTCATGGCTGTTGAGCAAATAAATCCACTTCCACTTTGCAGGCCTGTTCTCTGGGGGGACTTATTCGTCAATGTGAAAAGAAATAATACAGGAATAATGACCGAAGTATGCAAATGCAGTAGAAATCTGGGGACAGTTGCACAGAGAGGGTGCTGAGGGTAATCCTGCAGACTTCCAGTAGGGAAAACCTGGGGGCTCCCTGGGGCTCCTTGACCCATGGGAGCCCCTTCCGGAACTCTCACAATCCTTGTGTCTGCTGGGAGTTCCCCAAATTCTCCCTAGATATTGCAGCACTACAGAATCCTCTCGCAAACCCCTTTCTGTGGCTGCCACGCGCTCTGTGTGTTAGAGGTTGGGGCACGACTGGGCTCCAAGTAACAGTACCCAAGACAAGGGACATGGGGTCTTCTAGAATCAGTTTGTGAGTTAGCCCAGGAGTGGACAAAGGTTGGAGTAACACATCTTGCATCCGGTAGAGCGTGTGGCTGGACTCGAACCTGGAGCCCAGAATGCCCTACTGCTGAGAGAGGACATGTCACAATGAATGCTTTATTATGTTTATAAAAGGGTCCTCTAACAAATGTATCTTTTTGTTTGTTTGTTTATAACCTGTTACTACAACACAGCTAGTTGGGACTAGGATGGCTGACTATTTGATGTAAGGATCCTGAGCCTTTATTTATGTTTATCTTTTCCTGCATTTTGCTTGTACATTTATTGCCTGTCTTGTCAGTTATGTATATGCCCCTTTGACATCTGCCTTCCTGATAGCAATCAAACCTGAAGAATGAGGGGAACTTTTCTAACTCGGATTTTAAGCACCTGTTTAAGAATTAACCTCTACCCCTCAAAGACAAAGTGAGTGATGTCTTGGGTACCACTTGGGGACACAGAGGAATGAAAGATGCTCATGGCTTTTCTCCCTCTTGCCTAAGGATATATTAGAGGGTAAATCAGAACCTCACTTCATCCTGGAAGGTGCAAGCAGATTTGACATCCAACAAGGAGAGGCCGGTAAGGACTCAACGTCTTTCCTCCTGGCCCTGGATCAGGGCAGACAGCCTGAAGTCAGCCTCCAGGTAGGGAGGGACAGAAGGAGGTGCCCACCCAGACCCACAGATTTCTACCCCAGCTTCTGAGGAGGCAAGGTCGGCACCCTTGGTGCTGTGTGGATGGACTGTTCACACTGGCAACAAGATTTCCTGTAACTTCAGCTCTGGGCAGCTCTGGCAAGATGTGAATCAGAGGCAGGTTGTCCCAACAACCCTGCTGAGGCCTGGCTAGGGCTCACTTTTAGTTTTTTTTTAAGTTTATTTATTTATTTTGAGAGAGTGCACATGTAAGCAGGAGAGGGGCAGACAGCGGGAGACAGAGAATCCCAGGCAGGCTCCTGCACTGTCCATGCAGAGCTTGAGGTGGGGCTCGAACCCATGAACCCTGAGATCATGACTTGAGCTGAAATCAAGAGTCAGTCACTTAACCGAGTAAGCTACCCAGGCACTCCTGGATGGGGCTCTCTTCACTTCCCTCACCATCACCATCCCCCCCATCCCTTTTTACCTTCCTCAGAGCCACCCCAACTCCCATCACCCCTACCCCACATCATCACCAGCTCCTTCTCTGTCTAGCTTGGAACTGGCCCCAGTGAACCCTTCCCCAGTTCTCCTCTCTCAGGCAGAAAAGGAATGTATTATTCAGAAGAAGGTGTATGGATTCTGGTGACAAAGACCCACGAAATGTGTGGAGTGGGGCTTCCAGATGTGTTCAGTAGACCTCTCATGGCTTCCATCCCCTCACAGGAGATTGCTGGTTCCTGGCAGCACTGGGCTCCTTGACACAAAACCCACAGCACCTGCAGAAGATCCTGATGGACCAAAGCTTTTCATGCCACTATGCAGGGATCTTCCGTTTCCGGGTATGTGCACCACTGGGACACTTCTCACCTAGGTTCTCTGTGAGCACAGGCAGGCGAGTATCTTGAATATTCTCATGGTCTGCTAGCCTACAATGGAAGGCTCACCCGTGTGTTAGTTACTTTGCGTACCTCTAAGAAAGGATTTGAGCTCAAGGTCTGGCAGCACATGGGAGAGCTGGGAGTTAAAACGTTTTCATGTAAACAAATAAAAAGAAATAGCAGAAACACTTAGCAAAAAAAAAAAAAGTCATTAATCAAGAACCCTGCACATCATAGAGCTTTTGTCTGTGTTGATTCCTGTGCTGTATCTTGCTATTTTGATTACAGTAGCTGTAGAGTAAGTTGCAACATCTGGCAGAGTAAGTTTTCCTTCCTTATTCGTTGTTCTTTCCTCAAAAATATCTTGGTAATTCCTGCGCTTTTATTCTTTGATGAGAATTTTAAAATCATTGTGTCTAATTAAAAAGAAAAGGCACTCTGTGATGCAGAGTGGAGTAGCATTAAATGTATGTATTTATTTGGAAACATTATACTTTTATTATTTTAATTATTCCTTTCCAGAAACATGGTATATCTTTCTATTCATTCAGAACTAGTTTTATGCCCTTCAATAAAATGTTACAGCTATGCTTCCACATTGGTGTCACACCCTTCTTGTTAAACGTATTCTCAAATATTTTACAATTTTGCAGCCAATGTGAATGAGATTTCCCCCTCATTTCATTTTTTTTAATGTTTATTCATTTTTGAGAGAGACAGAGACAGAGTGTGAACAGGGGAGGGACAGAGAGAGAGACACAGAATCTGAAGCAGGCTCCAGGCTCTGAGCTGTCAGAACAGAGCCCAATGTGGGGCTCGAACTCCTGAACCGTGAGATCATGACCTAAGCCAGTCAGCCCACTCAATAGATTAAGCCACCCAGGCACCCCCCTCATTTCTATCTAGATGTTGCTGGTAAGAGGAAAGCCACTCCTTACTAAATACTAAATTGTATCTAGCCACCTTACCAAATTCCTTAATTAGTTCCAATTTTTTTTTTCTTTAGTAGAGTCTGGATTTTTTAGTTAATGAATATTCTCTGCAAATAAAGATAATTTTGTCACTACTTTTATTATTTATAGAACTTACTTTGCCCTTTGTCCTTGTCCCATTAGTTAGAAGTTTGCAATTTTGAATAAGAGTGACAAGAATAAAGTCCTGCCTTTTCCTGGTTTTAGTGATGTTTTCTCCTGGTGTGCCATTGTTTTAATGCACTGTGGGATTCAATTTGCTAAAAATGTTATTAGAATTTTTGCATCTATATCACATGTAGAATTGGTTTTTAGTTGTTGTTTTTACCATGTTTGAGTTATGTTGGCTTTTTAAAATGAACCCACTGAGCTTTGCATATCTTAATCTGAAATAATTTGAACAATGGTTGTTAATCATGGATTATCTGATCTTTGAAAGTAAAATAGACAATAGTTAAAAGATCTGGAACCACTTCCTTTTTCAACATGATTTCTTTTACTCTTCCAATGTGTTCAACAGCTATTAAAATGTTTGTGTCTCTTATTTCTTCTGGGGTTAATCTTGAAATTTTTTTTTGCCAGGAAAACCAACTATTACTTCTCTCAGACCAAATTTATTGCCCAAAATTTGCTTATGTGATTGTCTGAAAATTCACTTAATTTCTTCTAATCTATGGTTAAATCCACTTTATCAATCCCTGTGCTATGTTTTTGTTTTTCCTTTTCTTCATAATATAGGTTTTCTTAACCAAAGCAATCTGTTTATTGGTTTTTGAACAAATCAACCTTTGATTTTCATTATTCTGTTTTTCTTTTGGAGTTTTGTTTTCTATATAACTAATTTCAATTTATTTTTATTAAGTACTGTTTACTTTCTGTTAATTTTATTGTTTTTTGTATGTTTTCTGAAACTGTACACTTTTCTGTCTTTTTTGTTTAATAATGAAAACTTTTAAAACCATAAATTTTTATATGAGATATTATCTATTTATAGGTTTTGATATAAAATGTCTTTTATTAACTTTAATGCAATGTACTTTTAGTTTTGATTAAGCTTTGGTTACAGTTTATATTCTATTTATTAAACTATGATCAGAGAATATTCATAAAATCTCTACATTTGGGGAAATTATTAAAATTTTATTCATGGCCAAATCTACAACAATTTTTGCAAATGCTTCATGGACATATGAGAAGAATATCCAGTGATCAGAGGTTTTACATATGGAGTCAAGATTTCTGATTTGCAGATTGTTGTGTCTGCAGTTAACTTTTTTTTATCTTGACTTAACTTTTGTCTGCTTGATTTGTCAAATTCTAAAAGAGGTGAATTGAATTTCTTCCCCAAAGTTACACCTTGGAGTGTCCTTCTTATGTTTTCAGATGTTTTAGCTTTAACCTTTTCCTGTTTTATTCTATGGTGCCCAAAGTTTTATGTTCTTGCTATCTGCTTGTTGGAATAAAGCTCACACAATATCACTCTTTATTGTGTTTAATGTGTTGGGCTTTGAATTCTTCTCTATCTGATGCTCATATTGCTAATTCAGCTTCCTGTTATTTACATTTTTCTGTTCTCTTTGTTCATCTGTTCCTTATCAATTTCACTTCCATATTTCTATAAATATACTTTTATAAAAGTATATTTTAAACTCCTTGCTCACCATTGTTTCTTTCACCCTTCATTTCCCCTTATCTTATTTCCCCTTGTTCTAATTTCATCCTCATTAGGTAGTAGTTCCTTGAATAATTTCCTCTGATCACATGAGTATTTTCACTTGCCCTTGCTTAAGAATGATATGTCAGTTGGGTTTGAGATTCTTGGATCACATTCCCTTTCCTCAAGAGTCTGTAAACATTATTTCTTTGTCTTACAGCTTCCAATGTTGCAGAAGAAAAATCCAATGTCAATCTATGCTTTTGGCTTTGTATGCAACATGTTCTTTCAAGTTTATAAGAGGTACTTTCTCTCTCTCCTTGGTGTTCAGAAATTTCTCTGAAGTATGCCCAGATGTGTGCCTTTTTGAAACTAATCTTGGCTGGAATTCATTGAACCCTTTCATTCTGAAGACTTTACTCCTTTTTCTGCTCAGCTAAATTTCCCTTCATTTTTTTCTGGGTGTCCTCCTTTACTTTGTATTCTCTTCCTAAAGTCCAACTAATTGCATACTAGGTCTTCTAACAAGTTCCCAGGTGAAGCTCATCCTGGTGGTCCAAGGATCTGACTAAGGAGTGAGCTAGAAGATGCAAGGTTTACTGTCTGAGCTCACCTTAGACTGCCAGTGTTGGTAGTAACAGGTAGTTAGGAGAAACTGAGGCACAAGCAGGACACTCTTTGCCCTTCTGAATGGTGAGAAAGTTCCACAATTCTCCAGAAACAGCTGAGGTATTGATTTCTGTGCCTCTCTTCTTATCACTCTGAACTTGGCACTGCTTTCTGGAAAGAGCCCAGTGCCCAGGCAACATGGCTACTTTGCTCAAAATATTTCTGTCTTCCCTCTGACACCTGGGTGTTGGCAAAATGGCACCAGCATGCTTCTCGGAGGGTCCAGACACTATTCAGATGCCAGCCCTCCTCAAGTAGAGGTGAACCAGGAAATGCAGATTGGTGACCTCATTCTTGACCATTTGCATCCTTTCTGGGAACAATGATCTTATCTGGTGTTCCCTTTGTATAAGGAGAGCAAGTTTGGTCAGCATTACTCATGTGGGAATATTGGGGTGAAGGTGAATTCTAAGGGAGAACCAACCAGAGGAGCTCATTCAAGCCAGGACTCATTCCAGTCTACACTGCACCAGGCACTATCCAAGGTCCTGAAAGAAGCTATTGAAAAATAGTTACTACTTTCAAAACTGATCTTACTTTCACAATATCATCAGATCCCAATCACAGCCCTATGAGGAAGTTCATACTTTACCACCACTTGACAGATAAGGAAACTGATACCCAGAGAATTCAGTGTCTTACCCAACGTCTATTGCTCAGGTAACTAAAGGTAAAACCAGTATTCAAGCACAGTTCCACTAACTGGCCACTGTCTACTACATTTGCTATCCAGTTAAACCCCAAATCCAGATCAGGCTCTTTTTCCAGTACCCCACTTCTAGCTTTCCTTGGTGTGCCAAACATATTTCATGACCTTCCTCCTAGTAACACCCCTGTTGGCTTTTAACCTCACCTGTCTACACATTTTACTGCAGTAGGGACACAAATCCACAGCTGTGCCGGAACCAGCTTCAGTGCACTGAGTTCATTAATGACCGTGAAAACATCTTCTTTGCTTTGTCTCCACTGACATCTCTGTCTCAGTCTCCTCTACTGTGAAGTACATCCTTAGCTGGATGAAACAGCCCAACATCTGGGACACCCAGATGTGGAAAAAGCCATGTGGATGGCTTCCCGTCACTGCCAAGCAGATGATAGATCACATCCACCCAGCTTTACTCTGAGCCCACCTGTCATAGGCTTGCCTTCATCAAGACTCAAGCCTGAAGCTGGAAGCTCTGCTGCTTATCCAGCACAGGGGAGACCAGCCAAGAAACTCCAAAAGGCTGGCTTTGTTATGAATTTTCCTCATTTGGTCATGTCCCCGGGTGAACCATTAAGAGTTGAACACTGAAGATTAAAGCAGTCTGTTTTGGAGAGAAACATCTGGTTCATTTGTGCTCTTAGCAGTAGCAGTGCTAGCCAGTTTGATTTCTGCTACTCTGATGGCAGGACATCTTCACATGAGCTGAGGAAGGCCAGAGCGAGGCTCTCACTGCTCAGTCCTCCAGAGCAATCTTCATCATTTGGCCTCTGGGCCTTTGCCCACACTGTCCTTGCCATCTGGGATGCCTTTCCTACCTCCTTGCCACCTGCTTAAGTCCTGCTGCCTCCCTCAAGCCTTTAGCCCCTGGTAGGCTCTCCTGTCCCCCGTTACAATACTCTGTATCTACCATTCTCCTTGTTATTCAGCAACTGTTCCCTGTGTTGCCCTTTTATGCCCAAGATATACTTGGAGAGTCTCCTGTGTGTCTGAAGCTCATAAAGGACCCGCCAAAGTGAGGCCAGAGTTAGTAGCAAAGTCAAACAAAAACCCAAGTCTCTTTCCTCTCAGCATGTATTTTCTTTGACTCACTTGGCCTGTGACTCATCCATCCAGTGAAGTCGACATGCCAGGCCCCTGTCCACTGACCTCGGCTGGGATTTTGTTCTGGATAGAGTTTGTTGTTATACTGGGGAGGTTGTGTGGTGACAGTGGTTATTGTTTGGCATGGGTCAGGGGTCCTGGAGCTCCCTTCTGCCGCACCTCTACTAAGGCATATATTCATCTCTCTTCTAGTTTTGGCAGTGTGGCCAGTGGGTTGAAGTGGTGGTTGATGATCGCCTGCCTATCCTCAACAGGGAATATCTCTTTGTGCATCCTCGCAACAACAACCAAGAGTTTTGGCCCTGCCTGCTGGAGAAAGCTTATGCCAAGTAAGGATGGCCCACCCCTCAGCACAGGGCCTCGATGCTGGCCTTACCTGCCCAGCTGCTTGTCCTGATGGATGCTCCACAGCAGCTGGCCCCAGGACTTTTGGCAGCTCTGCTGAATGCACATGATTCCCTGGGAGCATCAGAGCCTTTGCCACCTAGCTGGGCATGCTTCATAAACAATCACTGTACATAAGGCTCTGTTGGAGCCACGGGAGGAACCCAGAGGCACATAACAAGGAGTGGGCAGGGCAAGGCTGGACAGAGATATGTACTAACAACACTATTATTTCAAGGGCTGGGATAAGAGCCCAAATAAAATATAATATCAGGTCAAAGTCTGATCAGAGGACAGAGAAAGAAAACAATCTTGACTTTCTGACTCATAGAGTCAGGCTTAGACTTTATAGAGGACATGGCATTGAGTGAGGCCTTGAAGGATGGGTAGAATTTCAGCAAGGAGAAAGGGGATATGTTGGAAGTTATTCCCAACTATTGGAAGGATTTAAGCAAAGACCAAGGGGCAGGACAGTTCAAAATGAGGTGGGGCAGTTGGGGGCCTGGAATGGCCACTATGAGATTGTATCTGTGTGGGAGGACAGGGCAGGAATTGCTGTTTATTATATGGTCCAAGAACCATGATTCAAAGACTACCTTCTAGTGTTAACAAGCTCAATGACTTATAAACACCCCAATTCATACATTTTATTTAGCCTCTTTGAGTTGCATCTATTCAGACAATGTTTATTAGGCATTTAACCATAGGCCAGGCACTGTGCTTGGAACTAGGATAAAGACTCTGAGACTGGCTTCAATAGGTGTGAGCAAAACTGTATGTTGTGTGGAAGATGTCACTGTCATAGAGACCTACACAGGTGAGGGACACATCAGAGCTAGAAATCAATGCTAGGGGACAAAAGGACCATCACTTTCAGGAGCAAATGAATTACTGGAGTGTCATAGAATCAGTCCCCAAAGATCACCATGACCCACCACGTTTTACAGATTGGGAAGCCAAAATTCCAAATAGTGATGTGATGGTAGTCACTAGATGGAATCTGCTGGGGTTTTCAGTTATTTGACCCAGGCACATCAGTTAGGAAGACTGAAGACCCTGCTGAGTTCAGTCCTATGCCATGAGGATGCCAACAACCCCACAGACCACCCCAGTCTCTACCCTTCTGGAGGTTACAATTTGAACAGCCATGCATCTCAAGAGGTTTTTTTTTTTTTTTTTTTTTTTGGTTTTTTTTTTTTTGGGTTTTTTTTTTTTGCATTCTTTTTGTCAAGCCTACTTGTGAAAAACTAAAGCTGTTGCTCATTTCCAGTGTCAAGAAGAGCTGTTCATTAGCATTTGAGAATGAATCCGAGATAACAGCCAAGGTTGTTGAACCAATCCATATGTTTGGGGAGGTTAATTTGCTTCTAAGTGACTTACGCAAACACTGCCATTTCTTTCCACTGTGGATTCAGCCCTCCCCACTTCAGGGCTTTGCTTTTCCCTTATGTGAAAAGGGGAGCATGCCAGTTCACTTGGAGAATTAGAAACCTTGTGGAATGAAATGATGACTTTGACCCCATTTTGTTAACAGTCAACCTAAAGCAATCATTCAGCTTGAAAAGAAAATGGGAAAGTGGACCCAGAATCCACATTCTACTGCCTAAAGAAATCTAGTGAGGATAAAATGTTTCAAACTAGTAAGCTGTTTAAAAGCTTTCCCCTCCAACCAAAGAAGGAAATCATAGAATGCAGGAGTGAGCACAATAGAATTTGAGCTATCCGAGCTGGAGGGGACCTCTGTCATTCTCGAGCCCTACCTCCTTCTTTGAAAGATGAGGAAACTGAGGCTCAGAACACTGAAATGAGCAGCCCAAGGTCAAGTGTTCCCCTTGTCGTGTGCTTTTCCATCATCCCTTGAGGCTGTCAGTTCTATAGGAAAAAGATTTGTCTCTTTGCTTCTTTGGGACTCAGTGTCTGGCACACAATTACCACAGCACAAACATGGAGAACGCATTCGTCCAGATGGAGATGACCCTCCTTCCCTCCCCCGCCAAGAATGTAGGCCAGTGAACACATGCATTCTAAACTTTCAACTCTCCTTGCAACTGGGGAGTCTGGAAACGAATCGGTTGAGTCAGATCTATGTTGGCAAGGTTTTGTCCCCAGAAGTCATAAAATAGGAGATTGCGGGACAAGATCTGATAGGCTGCATATCATCCTGTATGGAATCTTGGCAATTAAGAGTCACAGCATCTCAGCATCCTTTCTGGTTCTGATTTAGATGTCTAAATTCATCCTTCTTTCCTAGCATTGCTGGGCAATGCTAGACATTTCCCCCAAATGAAGCTGAAGCACAGAGATGAGAACAAGACGCTCTCAGAATTCCTGGGCTCAGGTGACAAGGTGTAATGACAGGTGTGGTGAACACAGTTCTATCTTTCTTCCCTTTCTGTTTCCTGTCAGCAAAGGGGGCTAAGAATAGTTGCCATGTTTCTGAAGCATCAGCAGTCTTCGTGAGCTCATGTTTGTGAAGCAGAGAGATAACTCCTTGTCAAAATACCCAGCTTCTGCTGAGACAGGCTTTGTGGACATTGTGGAGAGACAATGAGAGAGGGGCGGCTGGCCTCCCCATGCATTGAGTATCTCTGTGGCAACTGTAGGTTGTTGTAAGCATAAGGTATCAGAGGAGGCCCATAGACACCAAAGCAGTGGGCCAATGTATCAGGACAGGGCCTGGGCTGCTTTTCTGGAATGGCTCTGATGCAGCCCTGTTTAAAGCCAGAGAGGGCTCTTGAGGGCACCTAGATGGGGCTGTTTCAGTGTGGGAGGCCACACTGGTGGGTTCTAGAATGGGCTCCAGAACCCCAATCTTTGTGAACTTCCAGTACCTTCATCAAAGCCCCTCCTAATCTAGGACCCAGGGCCAGAATACATGTGGGGAATCAAGAGTCAGGCATTCAGCCCCAACTAGGCATCACCCTTTGATATTGGTCATTGAATTTGACTTTGAATTGAATAAGGTCATTGAATAAGACTTTGAATTTGACTAAGTAAATACCCCAGAGATAAGAGTCTAGGGAGATAGGAAGATAAGATTAAGAACCAGTTTTAACAAGTTGAGATCAATCTGTCACATGGAAGTTTCTGTAGAAGGGCCCTTCTGTGTATCCAGAGCTTTCTTTTATAAAAAGACTCTTTTAAGCCCTCCGTGGCATTTGTGCCTGGGACGTTGTCCTGTTTCGACTGGCTACTTGACATGTATTTGCTGAAGCGAACTTATGTGAATTCTGAGTGACGCCCAGTGGCAGAGGTGGAGATATAGTGAGATAAGAGGGTCTGGAGGACCCCACAAGCCTACCCAGTCAACCTTACTGTTTCCAAGTGAAGGACCAGGAAGGGAAGGCTGAAGGCCCCCTGGAGGGGCAGCAGGGAAGATCTCAGACCCAGACCCCTTCCCTGATTCACAGGACAAGAAAGAAAGCCATGGTCAGAGATTCCCCACATTGCCACCAGCTTGTGAGGGTCTTGGCCTTGGCTTATCCCTCCAGGGACAGAAGAGAAGGTCTCTGGTGAGAAGGCTGAGTGACAGGGGCAATGGTGAGGAAGTCTCCCACTGGGCAGCTCTGAGACCAGAAGGCAGGGTCTTCTCCCCACTCCCTGCCTGGCCTCTGCTCCATGTCCTTTGTGGGTTTGCATTGCCTGTATTTTAGGGTTCCCTGGGAGCCTTTTCGGTTGACCCCATTGACAGGAACTTGAGTTCTCAAAACAATTCTGCCCTTGTCTGGCCTGCTTCAGTGGTCCATCTAGCCTCTCTTCCAGGAGCACCATCGCTGGCTCCCTTCCACCATGCTTTTTTGGCTCGGGGATTCTTCCTCCCTGGAATGCCCATCCCACTGTCCTTACCTGGATAAACTCAGGGGTGTGCTCCTCCCAGAGCTCTCCCTGGGCCCTCAGGCATTTCTTCTCTGTTCCAAGATGATCCACTCACTCTCATAGCAAACGGAACCCCAAGGGCAGAAAGTAGACATTCTAAGGAAAATGTCCCCATGGCAGAGGGCTGTTGCAAAGAAGTAACAGTTGTGGAGGTAGAAGCAGAGCGAGGGTGGCCTTGCTGAGCAAGGGTGGCCTTGCTGTGCCTGATAGTGATGTAACAAGCATGCACTCTGCAAGCCAGATACTTTCTGCATATCATCCATGCAAGAACTGGCAGAAGGGGCACAGCAGCCCATCGAGGCAGGGACTGTTACATGCCCACTCCCCAACTGAGCAAGGGGAGCCTTAGAAAGTCTCAGCTTCCTGCCCAGGATTGAGAGCTCATGAGAGGGGAAGCCAGGAGTTGAACCCGAGTGGTTTGGCTCTTGAATTTGGAATCTGTCGGCCTCTCTAGTGAGTGACTGGGGCTACTCAGGTTTGGGGGATAATGGGGAGGAAGTGAAATGAGGTGATAACCCTGGGCAGGGGCAGAAACCCCACACAAGAGTGGGAAGAAGTGCTTTACAGAACATGTACAAGGGTTCCAGGTGGCTTGCTTTGAAGTCATGTTGTGTAGGACTTGTCCTCACCTGTGTTACCTTCAGTCAAGTTGACTAACATCCCTGATGATCCTGGGATGAGTGGGTTAGTCCTGAGAGTAGGAATTCTGGACCATGCTTCACACTACATGAGAACAGAGGCTGCATGTGGCCACAGCAGGCATCAGGGTCATTGGCTGAGCTCTTGGAGGGCAGGGACAGGGGGTTGCCCATCTTTGAACAGCCTGTGCCTAGCACAGTATCCCTCACATGAGTACTTACCACTATCATTAAACTGAACAGGAAACAGTGGACATTCATCACCAGAATATCCAGTGTTTATTGAGGGCTTGCCACGTGCCAGGTTAAATAACTTGTCCAAGGTTAAGCGGTTAAATATAAGGAGAGGTTGGGATTCAGCCCCTGACCTGTGGCTCCAGCACCTGCACTTCTGACCTCTGCACAATACTGCTGTTTGTGAGGCCGCCCAGCCCCAGCTGAGCAGGGGAAGGACAGTGGCGCTTTGCTGGAAACGCCATCGTAGTGAATGGAAGGCAGGTGGCCCTAGTGCAGGTGCAGATCAGGCATTCCTTCTCTGGGCAATATGCGGATGTCAGGTGGGCAACCTCCCTGCCTGGCACATCTCATCAAAGTCGCCACAGGGGCGGTTGTGACTTTCCCCCTCCCAGGTTTCGTGGGTCCTATCTCAACCTGCACTACGGCTTTCTTCCTGATGCCCTGGTGGACCTCACAGGAGGGGTGGTCACCAGCATCGACCTGCACTCCTTTCCTTCTGACCTGGTGATGATGCTGAAGACAGCAGCCAAGGCAGGCTCCCTGGTGACCTGCGGCACCCCGGCCTCGGTGAGTAGACTCCCGACACTGGGTGGAGCCCTTCCTCGCCCAGGAATGTCCAGCCACCAACCCATTCAGGTAGTCCGGGGCATGGCCAAGCAGACGTCACAGAGCATGGAGACCATCCTTCACTGAGGCCGCCTGATTGAATCCTCACAGCAGCCCTCCCTCTGGGAGAGGGGTTGCAGAATTCACTTACAGAAGAGGAAAATGGGCTCAGAGAAGCCAAGTAAAACACTCACCATCACACAGCCAGCAAGTGGCTGATCAGGGTTCAGATGCTGCTGCCTGACTCCAAAGCCTTTACCTAGTACTTTCATGTGAGCAGTGGGGTCTGGAGTGACTGGGCCACTCTTTGATTCTCACCGGCTCCAAAGACAGCATCCCAAGGTCAGTGTGTCCCATTTTGAAAAGCTTGGGTGATCCTCCAAATTATTTCGGAGTCTATTCTGAGACAGCCAGCCCCCTATCCGTGAGGATGTTTCCTTCACCCTGTAAACACGTGAGCTTTGAGTCACACACCCCCAATCTGAAATGCCACCTGAAAACTAATATGCATTTTGCACCCCAGTTAGTTACTCATGGCACGGGGGTGGTGGGTATTCCCGACTCCCCCAGAATGCCCCACCGACGTGTTTTGTGCTGTGTGTCGTTGGTGACCAGTGACTGGAGGAGCACACAGTCCAGGTCAGCCTCGGGACTCAGTGGGGTTCTGTCAGTAATGGGGCAGTCCCCTGAGATACGAAATGCTTGGGGCCTCAACCACCCAGCAGCCTTCAAACTCTGCCTCTCTAGAAAAGAGTTCTAAGAACATATGCCATTCCAGTGTGAGTCAGTGGGATGCTTTTCATCCCACCACAGCTTAGCTGCTGATTGAATTGTGCTTTTCTATTTTTCTGAAGAGCCTGTGAATGCTTAATGCTTGGTCTGCTTTCGTCCTTTAAAGCCAACAGGTGAGGCCAGGAGAATGGAAGACGGCCTGGTGAGTCAGCATGCCTACACAGTGACCGGAGCCGAGCGGGTAAGGCTTCCGGGGGTTGAGCCCTGTTTTCTTGCTCCTCTAAGCAGGGGTTAGCATCACATGCCTTCAGCAAGCTCAATGTGGACGGCCTCGAATATTCCTTCTATTCATCCAGAAACTCTGGTGCCCAGCATCTTTATCCCCAGATGCCTACTAGCGATCTTGCCATTCTTGACCTGATCTCAGGCAGGCTGAGTGTCTAGCTAGACTGTGGGATTAGCCCCAAAAGAAAACAGAATGAGCCACCCGATTGCCTGGGGCAAGTTTTGCTCTGAAAGGGTTTTATTTGTTATGTGTCGACTAAACTGCTACCACAAAGACACTCCAAAATACAGGGGCTCAAACAAGGTTCATTTCTCTCTGAGGTAAGCGGGCAAACCCAGAGCTGACAGGTGGCTCTGTCATCTGCAACATGGGGCCTCTACCCGTGAGCCCAGGGCAGCTGCTCCAAGTCCCTCCTCTCCCAGCCAGGGAAGAGACCAGGGGACAGTTATACATCCATAGAGAAGCACGCATCACAGAACACACACACACACACACACACACACACACACACACACACCATTTCCTCTCAGATCCCATTAGTCTGAAATCAACCAAGTGCCACACTGAGGCCCAAGGGAGTCTGGGAAACATACTCTCTAGCTAGGCCACCATATGCCCAGCTAGACTTTATTCCCATGGAAAAGGGGGAGGCAGAGGAGGAGGACAGTTCTTCCCATTGAAGCAGAAACTGACTTTAGGTGGACGAAAGTATATGTGATTACTGTGTGCAGTATCATTTGGTCTGGAAAACACTGCTAAAGTCCAGCCTCCTCCATCCATAATTGAGAAGCTGAGGCCTGCGAGGGGAAGGTCAGGGTTAACACAGCTACTTGAAATGGCTGGGCCTAGACACCATGTCTCCTCAGTTCCTCTGTGCTTATCACACAGCTGTGTGATTTCCCACACACAGTGATTTCCCACACACGTTCCCCAGTCTTCTCTATTTCCCGCAACTCATGGGGTCTGATGATGTCCTCTGGGCCCTGAGAGACAGTGTTCCAAGCTCCAGGGTACATTTTTCACAGGTATTTATGAGCCATAAAACGTATGGTGTCGGGTTCTATTTCTGGCATGCTTTCTTACATTTGCCTTCCTTCTCCCTGTATCCGTCCACCTCCTGTCCAGGGACCTAAGGTCAGTTGATTCATCGTTTTGTGTTTTGGCAAGTGTTCCACAAAACAAAGATAGTATCTTCTGCCTTACGCTCTTCTCCTTAAGGAGATCCATCACAAAATGCTTCTTCTGCACAGCACCTGGGAGACAGTAGGTACCTAATAAATGCTCATTGGATTAATGGATGAGTACACTTGCATGACTGAATGAATGCATCTGTCTTTGGCCTGTGAAGATGATGTCACTGAACCTCCGCCTCCATCATAGAATGTATACAAGGAGCTCAAAATACATTTCTTCCCACAAACAAAGATGAGGTTGTCCTGATTAACCCTGGCCAGAAGAGATCCTAGACGCAGCAGCCCCAGACTCTCCTCCCCTGAATTCTCCCAAGGCCGTCTCAGAATTCTCAGTGGGGACGTCCAGTACCATCGTCACTCCACGCCATCCAGACACTCTGCTTCCCACGACTCCCTGTCCCAGGTGTGGAAAGTCTAGGCTACGGGTAGCAAATCGGTTTTCTCGTGTGCCAACCTGGATCCATTGGCAGTGCTGCTTGGATTATGTGTGAACAAGACTGTGGCACTGCTTCCAGATTTAGTGGAAAAGCTGTGATTGAAGAATGATATCGGTGCTGGGCATGGAATGAAGGAGCAATGGTACCTGCGTACTGTCTCTGCCACTCCTGGAAAAGGCCATTTATACATGGAGACAGTCTTTGTTTCTCCTCTGAACACGGGGGAGAAGGGACTTGTGAATTAAGAGGTCCAGATGGCCGTGGAATGTGTGTCCCCGCAGAGCTGGGCATGGGATAAAAGTGACTGCCAGGTTATAGAGTGACCATGTGAATACCTAGGGCTAAGCCCATACAGGTGAATATGGGAATCAGGGTTTGGGCTCCTGATGGTTCTGTTCATAGCCTGAATGTTGGCTCTCCCACAGCACACACTAGGAGTTGTTCTTATAACACAGTGAGTGGTCTAAACAGGACACCTCCCCTTTAGTGTTGGCCATCAAACTGTTTGTCCTGGATGGTCCATCCCTCCTGCCCCTCCCACCCCTCCTGCACTCAGGGTCTGCTAACACCTCCTAGCATGTGCTGTAAGGAGTCCATCCTGGTGAGATCCTCTGTGAGAGCAGTTTTCCAAACACCCTTGGGAAATACTGCTCATTATATCCCCTTCTTGGAGATTCACAGTGGATATTAGCATGTTAAAGGCTCTAAGAAGGCCAGTACTGACAATACAGGGACAGCTTGGTCTTAATCTACCATTAATCATGAAACCACTTCTCAGAAGAACTATTAACAGCTTGCAGAACTAGCATTTAATAGAATACACATGAGGCAATATTATCCTACACTAGATAACGCGGGTCACCTCTCACCCAGGGATACCCTTTCTGAGGGAACTGACCAGGGCCAGGGGTATAGTAAGTAGCCAGGAGAGTGAAACAAGTGCTCATTCTCAGAGGTAGTCGTGACCTTGGCCTTGAGTGTGACTCCCGAGCCTCCCTGCCAAGGCCCAGGAACTTGACTTGGTTAAAGATTTCTCCTCCAGAAAGAGGAGGTGACAACTGACCACGAGTGCTAAGATTAAACCAACCCATAAATGCAGTGTGTTTTTTAATCTGCTCATCCTCCTCCGGGCGGGACACAGGAAGATAAATGAGATTGGCATATTTTATTATGCACCTAGCTCTGCGCTGCCTCCCCTGGGCAAGGGGGTGAGTGTTTATCTGCATGCCTCATTTAGCCCTGCTTACGGCTCCTTCCACTCACTGGCCGTTCATCTCCCCTGTGCCCAACTGAGCCCCGACTATGTTAGGCACTGAGGGTGGCTCATTAAGCTTTCTGGGCCACCGGGCAACCATTTTTCATGCCCTTGCTCCATCAGGCACTGCCAGTTAATAAATCGACTGTGTGTGCAAAGCCTGGAGTGCCTAGGGGTGGGACAGAGAGGGGTGGGAAACCCGAGCATGTGCCAGGAGCCTCTCCTCTCCCATGTGGCATTAAAAGCCAAAGCACCTTCCCCTACGGCGCCAGCCAGATAGAAGTGGATGGAAAAGAACCTTCTCCAAGCCAAGTTCTTTGGCCCTTGTCTCACTGCGTTGCTCCTTCATGGCACTGCCCTGTGATGACATGGGCCATGGCCAGGTGACCCAGGGGTGAGATGAGAGGTCAGGGTTGTGGCCCCACCAGAGAGTGAGCTGGCCCTGGATTGCTGAAGCCGTTATCTGTTCCCATCTCCAAATCAGGAGCCTGGGCTTAGGAGACTGACAGTGGCTGGAGTGAGAATTCTTCTGCCACTTACTCTGTGGCCTGGGGAAAGTTGCTTAACCTCTCTGGTGTTCCGTTTCTTCCTGTGCAAGACGAGGGTTCTATAAACATCCACCGTGGGGGGTGGGGGTGAGGGGTGAAGGATGTAATGCTCTCAGCCGGCACCTGGCTCCCAGCCCGGCTTCACACGCGGCTTTCTTTTCCATACGGTGACCCTGCACTCTGGCTTTGTCCGCCGCCTCTGACCTGGAACCACTGAGCAAGTGAGGCCCTTCTCTCACCCCTGCAGGCCTTGGCCTCCACAGACGACCTTAGCACAGATCAGTGTCATGCCTACAACAGCACCATGCTTTAATTCCCCCCACCAGGCCAAAGGCTTCTGGATCTGGGAATGTAGGTTCAAAGGGTTGCGACTGTTCCGTTGTAACTTGTCAACGATCCTGCCCTCTGGCCTCCGTGGCCCGAAGAAGCACGTGTGCTGGCCTCCGTATCTGGGAGCTGGTGACCATGAGGTGCCTGGGGAAGGAAGAGAAGTTCAGCCCATCGAGGTGCCGGCAGAGGCCGGGTGATGGGGGCCTGGGGCAGTGCCAGGGTGCAGGTTGAGAAGAGCTATGAGGGGCTCTCCTGCCCCCCAGGCCATCCCGTTCCTGCTCTGTCTGCCGCCTCCACATTGTCGCTCAGGACCACACCATGGAGACCCCGGCACAGCTGCCTGTGGGCCGCAGGCAGAGAAACAGCCCTGTCTGTCGAATGGAGAGACCGGTGGGGACGGGACTTGCAGGAGCCTGGGGACCCATCAGGTTGTCCCCTCTGTAGCACCACATGCTGTTGATCTGCTCTGACGTCTCAGCCCACATTCCAGGAGGCACCGATACGGGATGATGAAGCTGTGCCCACCCTTTGAGGTGCTGAGCAGAGAGAGGGGCCGTTTCCTCCTCCCTCATTCCCACCTCACGCAGGCAGCAGAGACACATTGATTTTTTTTTTCCTTTCAATTTTTTTTTTTTTCTGGCTGCAGCCAAATGAGGTCAGAAGTTAAATTAGTCCTTGGAGGTAAAAAGCAGCTGCATTCATATCCCCTCTTTCTGCTGACTTTTGCTGGAGAGCCCTGAGAGTTTCTTTTTCTGTTCTTTGCAGATTCAGTACCGGGGGAGCTGGGAGGATCTTATCCGCCTGTGGAACCCCTGGGGCAACACGGAATGGAGAGGGTGCTGGGCAGACGGGTATGGCTTCTGAAACCCTGTCTCTACCCTTCCTGAAGACCTGGGATGCAGAGAACACCCCGCCCCCAGAGGGTGGCCTCTGTCTTCCCTGTTGTGGATCTCACTGCAGGCCTGTCCGGTTCACACCGGTGTGCGGCTGTGGGCCCAACTCATATTCCCATGATGCCATTCACCAGGCATCTATTAGACACCGAGTGTGTGCTCTCTGCACTAAGTGCACTGTGTACTGTGGGATATGTACAGATGACAAGACCCAGTATCTATCCCCCAGAAGGTTACAGTCCAGCGCCGTGAACCCACATACCCAGAATGAGGGTTTGTTTGTTTGTTTGTTTGTTTGTTTGAGGGTTGGGGAGGGAGTAGGAAAGAAGCCTCAAAAAAATGAGAGAGAGAGAGAGAGAGAGAGAGATGATGGAGAGAGATGGAGAGGCAGAGAGAGATGGAGAGGAGGAGCCTCATCCCATAAAGGGATCCCATGCGATTCTGATCCTGATGACACCATGAGGAAAAGACTTCATTTTGGGGGGCAGTTGGGGAGCTGAACCAAAGATCTGGCCACCTGGGTTGTCCATCCTCCCTACTGATCTGGACTCCCACTTGATGTCTGGACTCAATCTTGCTCATAGAAGTGAATGGAGGTAAGTGTCAGATGCCCGTTGGCTGTGTTGCAGGCAGCTACTCTCTTGACCTGGCTGGCCAGTGGGGACTAGCTCTGTGGCCAGTGGTTCCCTGGAGCAAGGCTAGCATTTATCAGCTGCCAAGAAGACTGATCCCTGGTCCTCACCCCCTTGCCGATTAAGAATGAGATGGCCAGTGATAGGTCACTCAGTGACAGGTTACCTGCTCCCCCGGCAGCCAGCAAGGGGCGAGGGGAGGGGAGGTGGTGGGAAAGAGAGGAAGACTTGAAGGGAAATGCAAAGCATTCAGACAAACAGGTGAACAGGACCCAATGAGCAGTAAAAACCAATACAGTGAGAAGTGCATTCTGGAAGGCAAACACAGAGTTGGCCATTGTCCCTGTCCTGCTTATTGACTGCCCAGAACCTGGCATGACGCCACAGGCTGGTCTGTGGCAAGGACCACTCTGATCCTCTTTGAGCCCCAACAGCTGGCGTGTGCCAGCTCACGTGGGCACTTGGCAAACATAAGATCAATGTCCATTGGGGTGGGGGGGCAGGCGGAAGGGGGGGAATAAGCAACATGGATTCATAGAAGGAACCTGGTGGGTCTCAGATGCCCCCTGGAGAACAGGGCTGCTGAATCCCCTCAGCAGAAGGGGGATGAACTTGCAACAGCAGGAACCACTGGAGAGCGTTGTGTTTTTACTCTCTGTTCCCCTTTCTCCTTTTATCTTGCCTTTATTCATTCCTCTTTCCCTGGGGTAGCCTCCTTCCTCCCCCAGGGTAAATCTTAACCTCTGGCCTTTGCCAGTTCTTCTCAGTCATTTCCCCAAGTTGCCAATATGGCCCAGGGGTGTTGTGACTGGCAGAATCCCTGATTCCAGGTTGGCTGTTGGGGTTGGAGTGAAGGAAGGGCACACGTCAATGACACATGTGCCTTGCATAGGAGAAGAGGCAACAGATTTAACTGAGTTGATAATTTGCCCACATCCCCTATGCTAAATATCTCATGAGCAGTGAAGGCAGCAAGGGGCACCAGAGATTAGGGAAGAGAAGCTTCCCTTGGGTTGGTATGTTCAGAGCAAGCTTCACAGAGTCGAACTTGAACTCAAGCAGAAAATAAAAAAAGCATGACTCACCTGGGAAGAGGTCACCAGGAAGTTGGGGGGAAGTATAGACCTTGTGCTGAGCTGGGATCACTTACAGTGTGTTCTTTGGGGCGAGCAAACTGGCCTGCAGCAGCAGAACCTGGAAAAGAAATGCTGGGGGCTGGGGCCAGAGAGCCCAATGTCACCTCATCAATTTGGATTTACACCCTACGGGCGTAGGATTTGTGAAGGCCCTTCGACAGGGGAGTCGTGTACAGAGCAGGGAACGGGAGCACACCTGGCCACACTAACTCTGAAGGATCACACACCGGCTGCGTTTAGGCTCACCATCTCCCACCAGAAACGGGGCCAAGTCTCCATGCAGGTGGTCGATTTCCCCCCTACTTTTTAAGGAGTGAAAATGGATAGATGGAGCCGGATGGTCCAATCTCCGCCATAATTGAAATTTCAGACGCACACACTTAAAGGCAAACTTGCGTGAATCGATAGCATATTGATTTACACTACATTTATTTTTCCTTACACACTGCAGAAAATGAAATTATCACTTAATTATAAAATTGCCATTTTACAATAACACATCTGACTGGCTCGGCCTGAAAGCCCGAAGTCTGAGTGGTGGTCCCTGCCTTGCTTTTCCAGCACAGAGCTGACCCAGGCCCTCGGTACAAGCCACTCCTAGAGATAAATTCATTGCATGTTTGTGCCTCTGGGGCCTGTTGCTTATGCGCATGTCTCTGCCACTAGGAGGGGGCTGAGGGAGCGACAGCTGCTCCCTTCTGCCTGTGAGGGCCTCCTCCTTCACAGACCCTAGGACTAGCTTCTGGAAAACATGATCCCGATGAACTGGACAACTATATAAATTAAGCAAGCAGAGAACTGCTGCATGCCTGTTTGCCAAGGCCTGTGCCAGCCCCTGTGATCAGGTAATGGTGAGAGATGCTCATTGAGCTCCTGGAACTCGGAGTCTAGTGAGGGACAGCAAGAAATCCACAAGCACTAGAAGCATAGGGCACTAAGTCCTGAGACAGGAATGGTACAGGGTGCCGTGTGTGTCCCAAGGAGGGACACTGACTCTGGAGGTGAAGTGGGGACACCACAGGGGAACAGTCAAGGTTTCCCAGCAGAGGTACCTTTTAGGAGGAAAGAGGAATAACATTGTGTTAAAGGACTGAAAGGAGGAAGAGTCTCCTGGGTAGAGGGAGCCTCATGGCAAAGGCCAGGGTGGGGGCAGGACAGGTATTACTAAGGAGATGAGGACAATTGTGATCGAAGGGTAGAATTCAAGTGTGGGGTGTGTGGGGAAGTAGGGAGCCGCTCAGGTAGGGCTGGAGAGGTAGGCAGAGGCCAAGGTTCTGATGTGGGAGTTTTAACTTCATCCTGAGAAGAAAAGGTATTTTAAGCAGGGAGATGGCAGACTCTGATTTCTCTTCTAGAAAGATTCTTTTTGATGGCAGAATGGAGAGGGAGATGGGAAGTCCAAGAAGGAGATGAGGCTTCCTGAACTAGGAGGGCAGCAGGAAGGAGGGAAGTAAGTGGATTTCAGAGGTGGAATCCTACATCATTGCTATCTGGTGATTGTTTGGATGTCAGGGGGGCACGAGGGAGTGGCTTCTTGAGTTTTCACTTGAGCAATGGGAGGAGACAGAGGACTGGTGCGGTTTGGGGTAAGTTGGTTTCCAGACCACTCTGGGCTCTGGTGGAGATGTGGCATGGCCCCTAGCATGTATCCATCTAACGCTCAGGAAAGAGGATCATGCTGGGGACAATTTGGGAGCCACCAGCCTACAGAGAATGACCAAATCCTGTCACTAGGTAGAATGACCCCCTCCACCTACACTCCCAGAATGAATGAGGGACAGGGCTTCTGCTGGGGCATGTTTTGCCGAGGTGAAACGCTTTGGGAGATCTCACCCTGTGGTCTGTCTCTGTGTGCCCAGGTCACCAGAATGGCAGGAAACCCACCACCAATGGAGAAGACTGCTGTATGAGAATAAGGACGATGGCGAGTTTTGGTATTTCTTTTTAAAGTTACATTTTAAAACTTTAACTATTGCCCACACCCTCAATCCCTCCCCCTTTCCCTACACTTTTGTGAGACTAGAGATTAGCTTTGTAGAGATCTATGTAGAAGGAGACCGTTTTTTTCCACCAAGACATGAAAGGTTTGGATGGGAAATTATTTGTGTGCTTTCTCTTTGCGTGAAAGGTATTTCAGTCTGAAATATCAGAACTTCCAAGAAATGTGAATGGCAAAAGGGAATACTGACACCAAACCTTTGAAATCAACAGTTTCCTGAAAACCAGGATGCCTGGTTATCATGCCTGGTTATCATGCCTGTATCTTCTACGCCACCCCATTAGGACCTACAGTCTCACCCTGGGGTTCCAGAGTCTTCCAAAAGAGCAATTCAGTATTAATCTCCCAGCCCTGACTCTAGAGTTCTGAGTGAGACATCCGTATCTTCGCCCAGCAGCTATGCAGGACTAGAGTTTTAAAAACCCATTCTCTGCCATGTGGTCACATCTTAAAGGATAATACAGACATTTTCCTGAGAGGTTTGTGGTTTACTTAATAACATATTTAAATAAAATTTAGCATGTGTGAAGAGGAGACTGGGTCTAAGTTATTAAGAAGCAGAGAGACAAATGTCAATTAGAAAGGAAAAATATTTCCAATATCTCCACTGTAATCACAGTACAAGATGGGGTTTTAGGTATTGAGCCCATTTTATTCTGATTCAGCAATGAATTTGGCAAAGGAACCAAGGGAAAGGCGTTTCTGAACAGTGTATAGGACCCAGAGCGGAGAGAGACAAGAGCCATCCTTCTGGCCATGAGAGAGACATGCAGAACCCAGAAATTTTATTCTGTCCTATTCTCTCAACCCCTGGAGGGAACAGAAAGGTACTTGATAGTGAATGAGCCAGAATGAGGCCCTTGTCTTGGGGTAGGACAGTGGTAAGTCCATGGAGACTAGAATTGACAAAGGTACAGTGGGGAGATGGGAACCCCCACCCTAGGGACAAAACCAGTGAAATGATGTGTATCTGTTTATAACAGGATGTCATGTCAAGATTTCCAAGACAACTTTTCCTGCCTATACGTATGTAACCAATTTCCAGTCAGTCTAAACCATGGAAACATGCCTCCTGAAAGATGGTCCCAAATGATGTTTAAGAACCATGCAGTTCCAGGAAACACCACAGGTAGTGATGACATTGGTAATGATTCTGCCAGATGGAAGCTTCCAGCCCTAGCCCAGTCGTGGCTTCAAGTCTCAGTGGCTTTTGATTCTGGACCATCAGCCTGAACTTAAAAGGAGAGGAATCTGTCAGCCTAAAGGGACAGCTGTGTTTCTCCAAGGGAAACAGTTGCTGGGTGGGCTGGGTGGGAGAATCTCAAGTGTGCCTCCCCTGCCCTGTCATGCTCTCCCACTGTCCTACTGACTTCCACCCACCTCCCAGAAAGACAGGCTGACCGCTCTTCAGTGGTGGGGAGCTGTGGAAACAACACTGGACAAAAGTCGGGGCCTGGGTTAAACCATCACTTTGCCCCATCCAGACATAAGGGAGAATATTCCTGTCCCATGCTGGTTGGTACATCCTGTAACAGCATACTGAGATCTCAGAGGTGGGCACCTCTGAACCTGTCTTTGGGCTCCCCTGAGGTAAATCTTAAGTGTGACCTTGGGAGGGTCACATATTCTCGCTGCACCTCCTGCTTCCCATTTGTGACACAGATGAGTGAAATAGCTCCCTATGAACGTGAACCTGAGCGTGCTTACACATCGTCCATAGGAGAAGCTACACAAACAAGTTTGCGTATGTGTGAGTGTGAATGTGGGTGTGTTTGCACCTAGACATGAGCATTCCCTTTCCCCAGCACCTGCCTGTTGAGAATGGTTTGCTTGAATGACCCCAGGGTGCCCCTGTTTTCAACCTCAAGGATCTTCACACTTCTGGTGGTCATGGATGGACTCTAAGAAACTCCTGAGTCATACTTGGGTAGCAAATTTACTGATTCACCTTCCAGAGCCACATCTGTCTGACTGTGGGGCCAAAGTCCCCTTCCCTAGATATAGTGCATATCAATGAACTAACCAAAATGGTACCTTGGGGCTGTTCTTAGTGATTCTTTGCAAGGGAAAGAGAGAAGGGAGCCAGTGCGTGAGCACCTGCCCTGCACTGCTAAGTACACTTGAATGCATTATGTAGTCTAGCCCTCACAGGAAGCCTCTGTGTCTCCGCATTCCCCTCTCAGAGCTTCCCAGTTGTGACCCGAACCTGCGGATGTGTATTGATTTCAGCTCTATCTTGACTTATCTTCATTCTTTCATGTATCTGAATCTAACAGTCCTCACCTTCCTTCTGTCTCCTGCCCTGGCTCCGAGGAGCATGCTTGGGTAGTGGAGTGCTATGAATTACCATCTCTCTGCCTGTTTTCTTCTGTCTGCCCTGGTGCTTGGGGATTGACATCATTTCCAGGCTCTGATGGTTATCGCCAGTGTGTAAGCTCATACATACCTGAGGATTCTGAAATTCCACTTATGATTAAAAATAGCCCTCAACTTTAAGAAACATTTTCACCCAGTGGGGAATATTCTTCCCCTTCTTGTTTTTAAGAGGAAGAGACAGAGTCTCACAAAACAAAGAAGCTTGTGCTATAAGTAGTAGTCGTGGGGCCTGGGGCCTGCCCCTTAGTCTCCAAATCCAGAGTGTCCAATACAACCCACCAGAGCTTTCTGAACCAACATGGCCCCATCTGGGAGTCATAGGAGCTGAACTGAGCTCCAGTGACTGCTCTTTCTCATGCAGAAGAACTTCTGAGGGACACGCAGTTCGTCTTCTCTGTGCCAGAGAGTATGGAAGACAACAATGTCGTCATGTCCTTCAACATCATGCCGCAAAATTTAAAGGCAAAAGATGAGAAATTTCCACTCACCTTCAAGGTATTCAAGGTAAGGCAGCCTGGTTCAGGGCTTGCCCTTTCGGACATTTGTGTATTCCTTGTGCAGAGAGAGAAGCTGACTAGGCTGGGCGATTTCACTGAACTACCTCAGACATAAAACCCAAAGGGCTATAGAGTTCACCTGGTTCAACTCTAAATTTACAGGAAAACCTGAGAGGAGATCAGGCTTGACCAAGTTCACAGAGGGACACACCTCCTAACCGTGTCACTTGTCAGCATTTCCTGGTATGCTGCAAGCCCAAATGTTTGTTATCCAAAAAGTAGTCTGGTCCAAGACCAGCTGTTTAACAATGCAGATTCCTGGGACCATCCAACACCTTCTGAATCTGAACTTCTATAGCTGGAGTCTGAACGTCTGCATTGTAACGAGCTCCCTGGGTGCTGCTTACGTGCATGAAAGTTTGAGAATCATTGGCTAAACTTTGGGAGGAGTTTAAAGGAAAAAATAAATCCTGGATGTAAAACCAGGAGGTATGTTTTTCTCTTGTATTTAGACCAAAATCCAGTCTTGGTGGTTGGCTTGCAAATATATGCTTGGCCATTCATCCACAGCCAGGTTTTTCTCTCTACCTGGCCTCCCCTCCTCACACCCATGGCCCTCCCAACCAGCTTTGCAGCTCCTGAGGGGTCATCCTTCCACCCACCAGCCTGCACCCATCCCACTGGGAGGAGCTAATCGGAGAATTCTTTTTTTTGTTTGTTTTTTTGAGACTACTTAAAAGTGTTACTAAAGAAAATCTGATACCTCTGCTCCCACCTCCTTTACCAAATCATTTTAATTTTTAATGTTTATTTATTTTTGAGAAGGAGAGCACAAGCAGGGGAGGGGCAGAGAGAGGGAGACACAGAATCCGAAGCAGATTCCAGATTCTGAGCTGTCAGCGCACACCCTGAGGTAGGGCCCAAATGCACAAACTGTGAGATCATGACCTGAGCCGAAGTCGGTCGCTTAACGGACTGAACCACCCGGGGAACCCCACCAAATTAACGCATCCCAAAGATAAAGTGTATGGTTCTTAAATCATATGCTCCACACCCTCTATGGACTGACTTGGATAACTATGGTACCGCACCCATCAAATGCTAGGATCCCTTGTCCTTATAGTGGAGCTGAAGGAACTGAGGCCCAGCAAGGTGAAGTGATATGGTCAGAGTTAATGGCAGAGCTGGGGATTGGGCACCAGATGTCCTCCAAGCCTCTGTGGCTGGGGCTCTGATTATAGCATCCCTAGGAATAATCTTCATTCCTGTTCACTGAGACTAAGGCAACAGTCAGAACCATGGGTCAACTCATGTATGACAGGCAGGGCTCCTGGGTACTCTGCTCATGCTGGAGCAGTCCTGAGTCCTGGCTGTAGTTCACTCCAATGAGAAGACTTCACGGTGGTAATGTACTTCAGCGTGTTCACACTTATCGCTTCAAACACTACTTCTATAGATATGAAAGCCAAAGCTGAAAGAGCAAGAGTGACCTTCCCAAGGTCCAGCTAGAAGGGAAGGTACTTGATACCAGAGCTCCTGGTCCCCGGTCTGGGTCTCTCAACAAGGTGGAGGCACTTGCTTTCCTGGTGATGCTCCCAGCTCGAAGGAAAACAATGATTCTGGCTCTAGAAGGAGGAGAGCCCTTTGGGTTCTGTTCTGAGCCCATTTCTGCTTCCCAGTTGCATGAAATCAATGGAAAAGAAATTGTTGGGGTTTGGCACAGTACTTCTGAGGTGCCTGAAACCTGTTGAGGCTGGAAAAGAACATCTAAGGATGCAATAGTGGACAATTGTCATCTTTCTCACCACCAGACACCTGAACGCTCTCTTCCACTTGGTAGAAGGCAGGGCCTAATTCCCCACTGCGGCAACCAAAGAGACCAAATAATCTCTCTCCCCAGCCCCTGGCTGCAAATGGGGTAGGTGTGTGAGCCAGACTTGTCCAATTAGATGTTCCTCTCATGCCTGCCCACCCCCCCTTTTGGTCACTCTGGGTTTGGACTCTTGAGGAAGTCATTAAAAGTGGTAGAACCAGCTGAGGGATTATGTACAGCAAATCCTGGGGCCTGGCAGCAGCAGTGTAGGCAGATCCTGGGCTGGTGTCCAGCTGCATAGCCGTCTCCCCTCTTTCCCACCCACTTTCTCAGCTGCATCCTCTAGACTTCCCATAAATGGCTTTCTGCTCACCCCACGCTGATTGGTATCTCTTGCTTCCAGCCAAGAATCCCAAATGATTCAGGTGCCTTCTGAGAGGATTCTCATCCTCAGAGTACCCCCAACTCTTATTTCTGGGAAGAACAAAGGAAAGGGGCTGGGAAGGAATGGAGGCATCTGGTCTACTCAGCCAGGATTTAATAGTTTAATAGTTCAGGGCACCAAACAGGACTGCACCCCTCTTCTGATGAGAGAAAGAAGCCCACAGAGGGAAAGAGGGCTGCCCCAGTGCACAACTGGGGATGCTGTTCACATTGCCACCTGTGAGTCTGGTGCCCCAAAGCTGGGCATCATAGCAGCCTTGTGTTAACCAGTTTGCCCAAAGTCTTTACAGTTCAGGAGCCCTGGAAAGATCATAATCCTATCTGTTTTTAAACACTGCTGAGCCCATTTATCTACTGAGATAAATATCTACTGAGATTAAATACAGAGATGCATTTCTCAGCTGTACACTTTGCTAAAAAGGAACTCAAACCTGAGGTCTCTTCAGGCTCCCAGGAGGTCCCAGTGGATCTTGCAGGATCCTGATTGAGCTGAACACCAGAGAACCATCTAGTCTTTGGCAGCTCAAGAGACACTTGGGTTCCTTTCACAGTTTGGCTGAGAAACAGGCTGTGTGCATGCCAGCAAGTAGACCTCCAGAAGTCTGCAGGGCTCTGATGGTGTTTGCGGGCAGTGCTGCTTGCACGACTAATGTATACGGCCCTCCCACCCTGGCATGGTCCCATGACTCCCAACTCCTACGGAAGCACTGCTTTGCCTTGCATCAGAACAAACATGGGTGGTATACAAACAGAAGACAGGACAGAGAAAAAGGACAAGGGTGGACAAGTCATTTCATCTTCACCCCAAAGCTGCTCTCCCAGGCTGGGAGCTTCCAGCTCATTCTTGGGCTCCAGAAAAGCCTGCCTGGGAAAATCAGGTGGTCTGTACACATGGTTGTGTGTGTTGGGGTGGGTGGTGTTAGGCAGGATTAGCAGAGGAAAAGAACTGAAACCCACACCAACTGCAGAAGACACTGCCGGGTGGTGGGTGTTAATCACCAAGGAAGCAAAGAAGCTTGCTTTATTCCCTTCTCTGCCACTTAGACTGCTGGAACTATTTCCACATCCATAAAACAGGGTCTCAGTATCTGCTTTCAGGGTCACCGTGACAATCCAACACATTACACGGAAGCATCTTGCAGATGGCAGAGTGGCTTAAAAATAGGGCTGTGTCCTCAGTGCAATATTCAGTTCAAGATTAAAACTAGGTATTTCCCAATTCAGATGCACACAGACATTCCTTACGAACACCGGGGGCCTAGAACAAATTCCCACCATATCTTTCAGTGGTATGATGAAATAAAAGAAGTTTCTTCACGTTGGAACACCTGATGTTGAGAAACTGACATCTGATCTAGGTTCTGTCTTACCTCCAACCCTGTTAACATCTCTCTCTTCCCTTCTCTTTTATCATCATTGCTGTGAAGAGTAACCACACCTGGCTGAGCTGAGTTTCCTTCCCCCTTGACCCCCCTACAACCTACAGTGGGTCAGGTTTTCTTTCACATCTCTGCACAGGGGATGAGTAATGGTCCCATCCCCTGGGGGGTGCAGGGAACAGGCTGGCTGCCCAGGAAGAAGGAATGCAGGGTCCGGAGCTGGGCTGTTGGGATCTGCTTGACCCTGAGTTTTGGTTTAAGTCCCTGAACCTGCCTTTCTTTCTCTTCCCCACAGGTCGACCCTCAGGTACGGTTCAGCCCCTTCTCCTGCTTCTGTTGCTGTGCATCGGTAAAGCATTACGCCTCTTCCAACACCATAACTTTGGCACATCTCTTGCTGTTTCGTGGCTGCAAATTTATTCTTGTTATGTCCTGTGACGGATGCAAGCTTAGAATCTCTGAACAGGGCAACAGTGCAGGACGTGTGTTTGCTGTCCTGTTCTGGGGGTTGGACCCCTTGAGTTGCTCTCTGGTTTGACATCTAAGAGGATCTGGAACCACAAAACTATCCTCAAGCATTTGGCCTCCAATAGATAACACTGATGGAGCCCTTTCTTTCCCACTTAAGAAGCAGAGCTAGTGGCATCTTAGAGGGACTTTAGCCTCATGTTCTTCGTCACCCCTAGATCCACCACAAACAGGATACACACTCTGCAAATGCACCTTCAGGGCATATCTAGCTTATCTTACAACCAAATTTGCTCCCTCTCCTAAGCAGGCCCCGCATTGGTGCAGGATGAGTGAAGAGTAAGGATGGAGAAGGACAGATGGAGTTACAGGCACTCAGACTCCTTAAATGGATGTGGGCTCTGTGGGGCTGTTGCTGCCAGGGCATGTGTGGGACCAAGGATGGCAGGGAGGATGAAGTCACAGCCAACAGGTAGTCCCTGTAGCATGCTGGTGGGTCCAGGGAAGCTCCTCTGGGCCTTTCAGGGGTGCCCCAATAGGTAGAGAGAGGTCAGGACAGGGCATCTTCAAGCAGGGGATACTCAGAAGCCCAGGCAGAAAGCAGGCAGCAAGGAGGCCCCTGATACCAGTGGCCTAGCCACAGAGTTGAATTTAGGATCTGATTTTGGTTTTGGGCACCCTGGTCATGGAAGCGGAGCTTCTTGAAGGGTTTCAAAGGGAGGCACTCGGGTACAAGGAACAGATCAGTGTTTTAATTCCCAGAGCTGGAGAAAGGAGTGGGGACTCGGCCCAGGAAAAGGTACAAGACCCATCCCTGGAACTACAGGGTCAGGTCTTTGTGCAACTAGGCCTGTGTTAATTCGATGCTGGTCCTCTGAGCACTAGACCACCATGCCACCTACTCATGCTTCTTGTTGCCACTGAGCGAGTCTGCTCTGAAAGATAGGGAGCCTGGAAAAGGCTGCAAGAGCCCAGTGGAGGGAGGTGAGCAGGGAAGCAGGGAAATTCTGGACTGCAAGAGGTACACACACTTCTGTGCACACTCATGGATGTGCGCACACACACACACACATATGCACACACACACCCAGAGCCACAGGGCAGTGCTGACTTTTTGGAGTAGAATGGTTCTCATCATTGCTTTTGCCACAAGGGTTCAAGCAAATGAGGTTCCAAACCTACTGGGATCACTGTTAGTATCAGCAAAGTCATTGTGAAGGTTCCACCCAGCCCTTTCTGCCCACCCAGGACAGTGACCTATCTCCCGTCTCATCTCCTAGCTCAGCCCTGTCTCCACCCCCTGAAAAGAAACTCTCCCTTTCTCCCTGTTTTTCCCCAAGGCAGAGCTCACAAATAATCATTTCACGCTGCATAACCATTTTAGATGGAACCCCCATGCTCGACTGTATTGGGGAAAATTTATTTAGTAAGGGGTTTTTATTATGTAATATGTATGTGACATCTGGTAATGGGAACTGCATTATATTTATTGTCTTATCTCTAAGAAAATATTGAAATAAAAGGAAAATGATCAGGACCTATTATTCTCCAATGAGAAGAAATTCCAGGGCTCTGCTGGGAAGATGAAATGGAGGGAATAAAGGAGTCCAACTCTGCTGTGCTATATACAGTCCAAAGCATCCTGGGGAAGGTTCAGGAGGGAAGGGGCTTCTGGGGGTCCAAAAGTCATTCAGTGTTGGAACAACTTCACTAGTTTCCATGAAAGTCTTTATATATGAGCAGAGACATAAACCCCAAAACCCAGGCTACTGTGGGATTTAATGAGGTGAAACCATGTGCCGTACTTTTTTTTTACACTCGTTGTGGTGTCAGTGTTTCTATTAAATGACGGTCTGAACTCTGTGGCATTTTGAAAGTCCAGGTAAGCACTGTCACCCTTTTTGGAGCCTGTAATGCTGTTTTGGTGAATGATGTGGGGTCTGGAAGGTGGCGGGCTCTCCTGGGGGCTGGGCGCATGCACACAAGGGGCTTTCTGATCATCTTCATGTTTCCTCCAGTTCCAGCCCTTCTGGAAGAGGTTGCCACCCACCTTCTTTTCTCAATTCAGAAACGCTGTCAAGGGCATAGTTTCTAAAACCAAGTGCAACCTCACAAAGTACTTCAGTCTGAGCCCTGGGACCTATGTGGTGGTCATCGCCACATACAGAGAAGTTGAGTTTTTGCTCCGGATCTTCCTGAAAATGCCAGATGGTGACAGGTACAGGAACTCTGGGTTTCAAACTGTTTTATTTCACTTAAATTTATAAGAACACATTGTGTCATCCTGTGCAGCATGTACTGCATCAGGGGACATGGGGGGCTCATTTGCAAGAAGCCCACCACAAAGGGTGGCAAGAGAATCTCTACCAATAAGTAGACTATTGAGCAGGATGTGGCCATTGCTCAGTGGGAGTGCAGAGTCACATGGGAAGACAGAGTAAGGGGACCCACATCTGGCAAGAGGGATTGAGGAAGGCTTCTTAGAGAAAATGGCATTTGAGCTATCCCTTGATGGAAAACATAATCTAATGTTTAAAGGAAAAGGTAGTGCAGGTTGAAGAAAACAGCATGACCAGAATCAGGGAAGTGGGTGAGCGTAGAGCCTATTGAAATAGAAGTGATGTCAGCCATATGCACAGGAAGGTGGTACATGGCATGGCTGGCAGTTGTCTGAAATGTGACCAGAAGGTGGGGTACATCAGGGAGACAGTGAAATATGGGCCTGAAAGACAGAGCCCAATCATGGAGAGTCTTCATTGCTAACTCAGTGGTCAAGACTGGGATCAGCAAATACATATCCCTGCTGGTCATCTTACCCCCTGTTGGACCTGAGGCAGACATTGCTCTCATCATGGCCATCTTTACAATTAAGCTTGGATGAGGCCTCGGTCCCATATGCCAGATAGCCACTGTGCCACCAGAGTTGGAACATAAGACAAAGCTTATCTGCCATCTTGGCAATGGGGGTCACTGTGCATGTGTACTTGGTTGTGAAAAGGAACCATTTGCTAAATAATTTGAAGACCAGACGATGTCCAATCAAAAGACTAGGTACGTGGTTATGATGTTTATCTGTCTGCTGACTGTCATGGCTGCCCACTTCACGACCTGCTGTGCTGAAGTCTCTCCACTCAGATCCTTGGTATAAATGTCCAGTGCCACCTAAGGTGTCCTCCATATTCAAGCCTCCTTTAAATCGTGAGTTTTTCATCCTTTGTCACACTGTTTCCCTGGTTTTCTAGGAACCCGAGCAGCAATTTCAGCCTTACAACACTAAGGGTAGGTATGTGGAAAGGTTTGATTGGCAAGCTTCCTTGACCACATCCCATGCCCAAGAACTTCTGTCTCCTTTCTTACCTTAAAGCACTGACCAGTGAGAAGAGACACCATCATCATGGGCCAATGATGGCTCAAAGGGGCAGAGCAGAGGGGAAAGACCAAGCCTCCAGTGTCAGGCTGGAACCAATCCTCTTCCACAAACTCCAGTGTTCCATTCCCCTACAAATTTTATTCGATTGCTAGATGAAGCCTCTGTCTCAGATCCAGGTGTGGGGAGTGGTTCTTGTGCCTTCACTGTCCAAGACAGGTAGTCTCCTTCCACAGAAATTTGATGTTGACTATTTTCCCTTTGATCCAGGCAAGTCTTCTGGAAAATGGCTCCCAAGGAAGCATCTTCCACAAATACGCTCACCAGGTACAGTCCTTAGCATGGGATGAGTGATGGTGGGACTAGAGGAAAGGAAACTTATCCCAGGCCCTTATCAGGATACAGAGAAGAAAAGTGATGTAGTTGGTCATTTTATCAGTCTCTCTCCCTGGATATCTCCAGAACTAATAGGGCTACCAAACCAGAACTAGGAGACATCTGGGAGGGGTGTACAGCTTGGTAAGGATGGGGCTAATTATGGGGTGAGGTTAAATCTTTAAACAAGTAATTGGCGGGGCGCCTGGGTGGCGCAGTCGGTTAAGCGTACGACTTCAGCCAGGTCACGATCTCGCGGTCCGTGAGTTCGAGCCCCGCGTCGGGCTCTGGGCTGATGGCTTGGAGCCTGGAGCCTGTTTCAAATTCTGTGTCTCCCTCTCTCTCTGCCCCTCCCCCGTTCATGCTCTGTCTCTCTCTGTCCCAAAAATAAATAAATGTTGAAAAAAAAAATTAAACAAGTAATTGGCAATACCCCCTGAAATCTTTCTTTTTCCTGATCTTCACCCCCTCCAGTTTGACATTATTCCTCACAGGAGCTAGCCAGCTTCATTGAAGGCACCAATGATATTTTTCCTGCCAAGCCACCTAGGTGCACAGAGGTTTTTCTTAATGGTTTAATAAACCATTATAAAGAACTCCTTGACTTGCCAGGATAAAAACATCTGCCAAGGGCTCTGCACAATGGGCCTTTTGCCATTAATAGTCATGTTGGTTTGGGAAGTGCAAAGTGATGGATAGATATGATCATGTGTCCCATGTCGGCCTTGGGCCAGGCAGAGGCCAAGGACAGGAAGGATGCCAGGCATTCAGTGGGCTAATGGGGTAACTAGGAGGCTGCTGAGAGGGAAATTATTCAGGCAGCCTGGGCCCAGAGGGAAAAACAAGGAGAAATGAAGAATGTGGCTGTCATGAGGGGAAAGTGTTACGAGGAGCCGCTCAATATGGAACTCCTTAAAATCAATATGAGCCCAGGATTCAGGTCCACATCTGGCTGATTTAGAAGGCACTTCACTTGATGCAGGACAAAGTCTTCCCAGATGATAATCCCCAGTCTGTGAGCTCCCAGAGGAAGGGATGGCACCATATGCATTCTTTGTCCCCAATACCTATCACTGTCCCTGGCACAGAGAAAGTGCTCTGTCAATCTACATTGAATTAAGACAGATTAGCTTCTCCAGAGCAGATGTCCAAACTAAGGTTATTGCCCCAAGGCAACAAACAGGACCTAATTAGGAGACCTGAGACCAAGCTTCTTTCAGGGGCAGATGGCAAAATCCTCAACATGGTTCATGCACCTGCACATCTGAAATAAAAAATATAATTTGTCATATGACAAATGGTACAGGTTCCCTAATCAGGGTTTTTCCAAATAACAACCAAATGTCTCCTCACAGAGGATAACTGGTAGCCCATATGGGGCCTTTGTAGGAATTAAAGTAAAAGACACACACAGCTTTGTGCCAAGGTGTATAGCTCGGAAGTGAAACAGACTGGACTGCAGCCCCTTTTCATCTCTTGGCTGGGCACCCTTGAACAGGGCTAGCCTGGCATCATTCTGCACAGCCTATAAGCAATTCTCAGAGGCTGTAGCCTCAAATGAAAGTTGAAAGCAAGATGTTTGTCCGTGCACTCCCCGAGTCCTCTCTCCTGATCTCTATCTGTTTAGTTTCAAGCGAACACAGTGACTTCCTACCACTGCTACCACTACCATGATCTACCTTCATCAGCCATGATAGTGGTGATGGTACTGTAACCCAAGTCTGCCTGCCAGAAAGTAAGGAACTCTCAGCCTCTGAGTTAGGTCATGTCCATCTATCCACCATTTATTCAATTGGCAAACATATACAAAATACCTAGGACATTCTAAGCACCACACAAAGTTTTGGCATCAGCTCCTCAGGAATCCTACATCGAAGTGGTGGAGGAAAATGTGCAATTGTTTTGGAATTTGCTTAAGGCAGCCTTCATCTCTATTCCTCATCTCCTCAAACATTTTGGTGGTTCTTGGGTGCAGGGTCCAAATCACAAGCTGTCCTAGGATAGAGGGACGTGCAGTAGGAAGGAGACATCGTCCATGTCCCAAAGCTACTTACATTCTAGTTGATAACTTACATTCCATGTAACGGTAAGTGTTCCTTACCAAATGGTCTGCAAGTTGCCTGCCATGATTCTTTTGAGGAAAGAACTCTGTTGCTAGTGGGCACACAATGCTGACTTTGCTGACATAACCCAGTCAATGAGATGTTGGAGGGATGACTGAGAGCCAGTTTCAAACACTGTTAGGGTGTTTTTCTTGGGGGCATTATGAGGGATTCTCCCATGAGGACAGGCTGTGGGACTGCTTTTGCTTTCAGTTGAGTGGTGAGGCCATCCCTGGGGACAGCATGCCTGTCATCTACGGGGTGCTGGTTCTCAGAAGAACCCAATGAGACACTTTCCTCCACCTGACCCATTACCACTCTGCAAAGCCACCAGCTGAGGGACCTCACTCCGGCTCCCTCTCCCATGTAAAGCTTTCCCAGGGTGCTGATGTGATGTGACATCACCCCCTCAGCTTTTACCAGCCTACGCGTAAGAAATGGCCATGCACAGCACGGCTCTGCTTCTCTATAGAATCATCATGGAAGACACTGCCCATAAAGCTGCTCAATGTCCCTAGGAGAAAATCGAATGCAGTTAACAACTTCAGAAGTTCCGGCTGGGAAAAGTTTCTCTCCCCTCAGCCTCCGCTGCTTCCCGTTTTTAATCCAAGGAAAACCATGTCTTCCTTTTTGCTTCAGTAGTTAGGAAAACTAATGCTAAGTAATGTGCTCAATTAGAGCGGCTTGTCTTAGCCTAGATTTCTGGCACTTTCATCTCTTCTTACCACACACACACACACACACACACACACACACACACTCACATTCACACTTATGCTCACACACTCGGTAGTCATATTTTCTCTCTATCCCTTCCTGGAGGCAGATGGGAAAACACCTTCAGGGCTGAGTTGATTCATTCAACAATACTCCTCCTGAGGGGCTCCTAAGTGCCAGGTAAGGCAGAAAGGAAGGAACCACTGCTGTCCGGCCCCATAATAAATGAAGAGATAAATGCAAGGTGACCCACACATGGTACCCAACGTTAGGAGTGATGAGCACTACAGATGTTCACGGGAGGGGTATCACCATGGCCTGGAGCGATCGAGAAAGGCTTCATGGCAGAGGTAGGTGGGCACTGGGTGGGAAGCAAGGGCTTAGAAATCTGAGTGCTTTTCCAGAACAAGGCAGGTAATGCCCCTCAGCTCCTGAGCATGGATGGGACTCCTGTATTCCTCTCTTGTTTGGATCAGGGGCTGGACATTGATGCAACCCAGCTTCAGAGCCTTCTCAACCAAGAGCTCCTGAGAGGTAAGGTCAGACCCACAGGATTGCTGGCCCCAACCTCATGCCCCCTGCTGAGCCAGTCTGGTGTCACTCCCCACCCCCGACGTTTCCATCCTTCCTGTTCTCTGCCCTCCAGGAACTCCAGGGGACACCTTCTCTTTGGATGAGTGCCAGAGCATCGTGGCCCTGATGGATGTATCCTTTGCAGCCCCCCACACCCTGGCTCCTCTTGCAACTTTAAGAGCCCATCTGCTCTGCGGGCTTCCCCAGGGGTCTAATTCGGATGTTAGGAACATTTTTACTTTCAGTGTTTTCTCTTCTTTGGTTCTAAGGGCTCACCAGAGAGTCTGGGCTTCTGTGGATTCTATACCAATGCACTGACTCTCCAAAACAAGCATAGCAACCATGACAGTAGTTACCATCTATCAAGTGTCTATGGCACACCAAGAACAGTACTGGTATATGGACTTTTCCTTGTGGTTCTTGCAAAAAGCCCCCATGATATAAGAAGTAAAGAGAAGGAATTCAAAGAGGCTAAGTAATTTGTTAAGTAATCACACAGCCAGTCAGAATTTGTGCCTGTGTTTGAAGAGTTTTCAGCCTCCGGAATCCGTGTCCTAACATCATTCTACACTGCCTCCCTGTAACACCAAGGGGGCTATTTTCCTTCCGCCCTTCCCCTTGCCACTGGTCAAGTCTTCATTAAGTTCCTTATTCACCAAGTCCCCATTAAGTGAAGATAGCAACCCCTGAAACTTGGAGAAAATGCCTTGATCTACACAGCAGCCATACCCCTTGATTGCTACCAGACTGCAGCTGAAGCTGTGGAAGCTGGGGCTAGAGCACTCCAGAGACGTGCCCGGGTTCCAGGGACACCAGTGGCCAGACTGGGAATTAAACCCAGGTCTCCTGACTCCTGTCCTGACTTCTCCCTCCGATGAGCTATTTCTCCCCTGCTGCCCCATCCAGGCAGGAGAGACTAGCCCCCCATGGGCATGCCCCCCAGCTGCTGCTCTGAGGCTCATCCCTCTGTGTACACGGCCTCCCTGGAGTGAGGCCGACCCCCACTTCTTCACTGTTAACAAGGCCCGATTGGGAATGGGAGGCCGGCCATTGTCGAACAAGAGGGCCTCTTGATGAAGTCATAAATCAGGCCCTGTCTCTGCTGGCTGTGGTTTGGAATCACTGGGAGACACTGCCCAAACCCTCACTGATTAATGAAAGTGGCCCACGGCACCCCACAGCCTGGGGCCAGTGGTCCTGGGGGAGGTTGGGTCTGCCAAACCCCTGCAAAACAGACAGGTCTGTTCTGCCCTTCCTCCCACCACGCCCCGCTCCCCTGCAGCAACTCAGAGTTGGATTCTTTTCCTCACATTAGCTCTCATTAAACCCATCTTATGGGGTGACCGGGCCTGGCTCTAATGCCATTTGTGTCTATGCGCACTTGCCTTTCGTGCTGCTGCAGGCGTTGCAATGACCCCTCATGCTCCTTCCCACTCCCCCCTGCCAGGGGCCCCACCCCTCCCAGTACAGGCTGTGTTCAGGGCTTTCTCTTCCCCTGGATGCAAGTGATATTGACCTCCTTTCCTCAGGGCTTCTTTCTCCCTCTGATTGTCCATTTTCCTTTGTAAATTAAAGCTAAGCCAGGTCCCTTTCAGACACAGTGGGAGCCGGCTACTGTGGGGCCATGTCCAGGTGACACTGGACTGGTTGATGGATAGAACGGCTCCCGGCTCTGTCGGCAGGGTCTCTGCTCCCTGCATGCTGCATGGTTAACTCTTAACTCCCCACCAGCTCAAAGCGAATGGGAGGCTTGAGCAAGAGGAGTTTTCAAGGCTGTGGAGCCGTCTCGTCCAGTGCCAGGTACCGGCAATGTTCTCTTTTTGTCCAGTTTAACAAATATCTGGTGCTGGGTGCCTGACCCCCACAGGGTTGAGGAGCATGAAAGAGGAGGAACTCACCAGGCCTGCCCTCAAGAAGGGTCACATTTCAGGTAGACATACACGCACTACTAGAAGGCAATGCTCGAGCAAGTGGCAGGGTGACGAATGTTCTAGGAGGTTGGAGAAGAGAAGGGTCACCGTGGACTATAGTAAAGCCACCAGCTCACTTTGCCCTCCTCAGTCCTCCCCGGGCCCCTGAGACACTCCCCCGGTGCACTAGTTCATCTCATTCCCCTCCCATCCACGTGCCAGATATGACAACATCACAGATGTGGCCTGTGGCCTCACCGTTGTTCTCAGGATGAGGTCTGAACTCATCAGAGCTGTATGCAAGCCCCTTTAGCTGAGACCCTACTTTGGGTTCCAGGAGAAGCCCTTGTACTCATCCCACTCGCTCTTTTCAGACCCCAGGTGTGTGACGTAGAGCCTGGCCAGTATCTACCACACTGATTGTCCAGCCGCAAGAGTCGCTTCCCCTGAGGCCTTGCCTGCCTCCTCCAGGCCCGGGTGCTTCCCCCTCAGCTCCTAACACCCGAATCTACAATAATACGATGAAGCGTTCTCATGTGGCTATACCAGGATGTGTCGCCTAATCCCTGGCTTGGAGTCATTTGGCTTTTCTGAGGACACTGGAATGGCTGATGTGTCCCCCCATTAGATCATAGGGCAGGGGCCCCTTCATAGTCATCGGCTTCCTCCAATGCCTTTCTTAGTGTCTAGTACACAGCAGGCGCTCAAAACTGCTGAACCAGTGACTGAACTCATGACCAAATGAGCAAGCGAATCCCATTTGAGAGTTGCTCTATATTCACCAAAAGTCAAAGAAGGCCCGAAAATGTTCTCGGGCTGCTATTTCACAGCGATTGTTGCCCCAGTCGGCCTTGGTCACTCGCACACAGGCTGGGGGTATTTTGCCTCAGAACAGCTCCTGTGGGCGGCTGAGCACAGGTCCCAGACCAGGAGCCCAAGTTCAGTCGCGTGGCGCTTGCGTGTTTACTCCCTGGAAGTCACCTGCCCAGGTGCCTGTTTCCTCACCTGGGAAGTGCGATGCTGATCGGGGCTCCGGGGAGAGTTAGGGAGAGGCAGCAAAGTCCCGGGTGCATGGAGAGCTGCCCTGCACAGAGATGAAGGCTTAGAGTCACTACCTCCTTCAGCTGCGCTAGGACCCAAGTTACAGTCCTCGCCTGCCCGCCACACAGTGCTCACTGCTGTGCAAGGCGCTCTCCTAAGTGCTCCGTACAGATTTGTTCACTGACCCTGAGCTACAGTCCCCATGAGGCAGGTGATGTAATTCGCACGGTGCTGCGGGGGGGGGGGGGGGGGGGCTGAAACTGAGGCCTGGAAAGATTAACTTGCCCAAGGTTACACAGCTGGTAAATAGTCAAGCCAGGATTTAAACCCAGTGGTTCAGTTGCCAAATCTTCACCACCACCCTATGCAAAGTCTTTAGTGAACTCTGCACCTCCGGAGTGTAGCAAGCTGCCACGTGTCAGGAGCCCAGTCTAGGACGTGAGGAAGGAAAGACAGGAGGTCAGAAGAGAGGAAGGCGCAGGCCTGGGAGAGGAACCCATGGCCCTGCAGCTGGTGGCCAGCGTGATCGGCTTCACCGGGTGGAGCCCATTCCTGCCTCTCCCCCCATCCTCGGCTGAGCTGCCTCTGAGCTGGATCCACTCAAGGTTTATGCCTCCAGGGATGCAAAAGGGATTTCTGAGAACTCTCTCTGCCCAGGACATCCTCTTTAAGGTGGGCAAGGGCACTGACATGGACTTCTTGCTTCTTTTCCCAAATCAGAATGTTTTCCAGAACATCCAGAAACGTTCCGGAGTTTTCCTGAGTGTGGATTTGTGGAAGGCTATAAAGGATGCAGGTAAAGCAGGGGCCCCTTGGGGGTGTCATGATTGGGGTAGCAGTGATGGTGGGTGTGTGTGCATGTGTGTGTGGGTGGAGGGAAGGAGAGAGAGAGAGAGAGAGAGAGAGAGAGGCGTGCACACCCTTAGCCTGCTTGTAGGCAAGACCAGTGCTGACAGTCAGGAGAAAACAGAGCAGCAGGTTCTCTGTCCTGGTTTACACCGGCATCTGTGGGCCTCCAGGCTCAGGACTCAGTCTCCATCCTCCCCAACTTGAGTTCCCATGTGCCAGTCAACTTTCCCAACTGCCTTGTATCCCAGAACAACTCTTACTGTAGGAAAATAACCCCGCGTGATTGATACCCTACCAAAACTCAAGGTTGCCTTAGAGACACTTCCATGTCAACATCTGGCTGTCAGGGTTAAACACCCATGAGCAGGTGGATGTACTGTCCTCACAGAAGGTTTGGAGCAAAATGAAATCAAACAAACCTGTCTGCTTCAAGAGTGCAAGCGCTTTGAGCCCTCGGATGATGATAAGCATACCGTAGGTGCCTAAGAGCTTCAGAGTTCAGGGAGAACCTGCACTCACGTCATCACATTTAATTGTCCCAACTACTTTGTGATCAGGAGTCATTATCTGCCTTGTACCGGTGGAGGAAATGGATCACAAAAAGGTTAAGTCCAGAAACTGCCACCTTCCTTGGGAAAACGTAAGATCAGATTCCCCCAGGTAAATGCCAGGGAAAGAGGGACTCTGTGGTTCTTCCTCTGGTGACTCCCAGCCTGGAGAGCCGGAGGAAGCATCTTTATGCCTTAGCATCTGTCCTTCTCTTAATTCTTCATAGTATACAGCAGCGGTTCTCAAACCTGGAACTCTTTGGAAGCTTGTTAAAGCACGGATTGATGAGCCTTATCCCTCACCCAAAGTTTCTGATTCAGGAGAGCTTGGGTGGGGCTGAAGAATTTGTCTTTCTGGAAGGTTCCTAGGTGAGGCTGATGCTCTTGATCTGGGGGCTATGCTTCGAGAACCCTCGAATAGCTACAGAAAAATGAAATCCCATAGGAGACCACACTAATGACTCCAGAATAATAAAAGGGAGAAAGATAGAGAATAGTTGGAATCTAATTAAAAATCTTCAAGGACCAAGCGGATAACTGAAAAGGGCACTGGAGCTAACCATAAGAAAAGAGGGTGATTTTGAATGTGGCAAGTTGGAGAGTACATATCCTATCTAAAGGCATTCAAATTCACATTTTATTAATTCTGCTAGAGAAACCAAATGTCTCTGGTGCATGGGACCCACAGGCCACAAGGCTCATCCCCTTGATGGATGGTTTGGCTTGCGAGGTTCTGCTGGCCCACCAAAGCTTGCAGGCGTGGCCATTTGCTAGTCTGCTCTTGTCTTCTAGGTGGTTGGTGCCTCCTGGAGCTCATAACCAGACATGCAGGACAGCAAGGCACCTCTACCTTGCCCGCCTATGGCCACCTTCTGACTGTGGTCTCCCCTCTGAGGACCAGCCTCTTTCCTGGTCATCCAACTTAGGACTAAACCTCTCACTTCCAGGAACCACATTTGCTCACACTAGCAGCACCCACCTGTAAGACCCACACACAGTCATGGAGTTGGGGAACAAGGTTGTTTTATAAAGTCACCAACAGAGAGAGGCCTGACAGAGGCAGGGCTGGGAGCAAACTCTGGGTGTCCTGGAAGCTCCCATTTCACATGGGAATTAGCAGATGATTGTCCCCAGCACAGTCAGTGTCTTGAGTATCTTGAGTTGGTAACTGGCCAAACTCCAGAACAATGTCATTGGGGCCCGGCAACCAACAAGAAGGAAGTAACCATAGAACCATAAAAATACAAAGTGGAATGGGGCCCCTGGGTGGCTCAGTCGGTTGAGTGTATGACTTTGGCTCAGGTCATGATCTCATGGTTCATGAGTTCAAGCCCAACGTTGGGCTCTGTGCTGACAACTTGGAGCCTAGAACCTGCTTCAAATACTGTGTCTCCCTCTCTCTCTCTGCTTCTCCCCACTCATGCTTTGTCTCTCACTCTCAAAAATAAATAAACATTTTTTTTTTT